TGTCTAAGAAACTATCTCAGAGATGTGTGGCTTCGTCTGACACTCCATTGTCGCATCAGATTGAACAATTCCCTAGAAACTGCGTGCGCTGACAGCCACGGTCCGACTTTGACTGGCCATAGGTCAGAGGCCTTACAAGGTAAATTTAATTTGTGAACCAAGTGATTTGCTGTTCAAGTGCCTACAGCTATACCAAGTCTGGAGCGGTTGTGTCATTCGGAAGTCACTCTAGAACAACCTTCGGGAGTGTCTAATTGACCCCCCACCCGGACGGAGCTCCGCGCTGTCGAGTCGCGATTTGCAGAAAATGGTCATTTCGGCCGATGGTAGGTTCACATTGCCGGCTAATAGTGTTTGTTCAGTAGCATGCTTTGCGCAACCTTGCACCTTGCGCGAAAAAGTAAAGGTAATCGAAAATGAACGCCATATCTTCTCCAATAACTGCTCCAGCAACCCCGCTAGCAACAAGTGACAGGCTGCCGGGTGAGGGGGGGGGGGGGGCAATCAAATTAAATCGGGACGAAAAATGTGATAAGCGTGCTGCACTCGCAGCTTTAAACCATGCAGCAGTGCTGTCGAATAGAAAAGAAGCAGCCTCCCGGTTTGGTTATAAGTTTGTTTGCCGGGTCGCCGTATTATGACCATCACTGTACGCGCAGGCTGGCTGCCGTTAGCTAATCGCTGCCAACGGGTAATCTCAACAAAACAGGACATGCTTTCCTACGCGAGATTTGCGTTGCCGGCGGATAGTGCTTCCACAACAACATCGCTACCGCAAGGTCGCACCTTCCGCGCTCACGTAAAACCAGTGAAAATTGGACGTCGTATCTGCGCAATTCGCCGCTCCAGCCGGCCCGCCAGCATTGAGCGATACGCTGTCGGGGCATCGGCCGAATAAAATCTAAACAAAAGGCGACAAGCGCGTTGTAATAGCACGTGATAGTCGTATGCAAATGCTGTTGAATGCTCAAAAACCGAATCTTCGGGTTTGACTATGAACATCTGTCCCCGGTTGACGTGTTAAGGCCATCTCTCTGCCCGCGTCACGTAAGCCGGCCGCAGTTGGTCCGTGCTGCCAGCAGGTGGTATGAAAGAAAAAGGCCATGGCTGCCGGTGCGATATTTACCTTGCGGGCCGGTGGTGCTCCCTCAGTAACATTGTTAGTGTAAGACTGCAACTTCCGTGCACATGCCGAAGTATTTCAAATTAGACGCCGTATCTGCGCAAATCCCCGCTCCGCCGCTTCAGTAGGCCCGCAAGCATTCAGTGATGCGCCGTCGGGGAATCGAACAGATAAAATCGAAACAAAATCTGACGTGTGGCTTGTATTGGCAACTGATATCCCCATGCCAGTGCTATGGAATGCATAGAGTTGGAATTCTGGGGTTGGATTCTGTGCCCTTTCCCTGGCTGCTGCATTATGACCGTTAACATCGTGACATTAAGGTACACGACATGATGACATCACTCTACATGCAGAGCGGCCGCAATTAGCTCTGCGCCGTCAAGTTGTGGTTTGAACAAGAAAGGTTATTTTGGCCGATAGTAGATTGACATTATCGGCGGACAGCGTTCCAAAACGCTGCGCCTTCGGCGCAAAAGTAAAACTGTTTGACGTTGTACTTCGTATCTGAGCAAATCGCTGTACCTGGGGCCCACCAGTGTTGAGTGATGCGCTCCAGGGTTCACGCAAACAACAATGAAACAAAAATGTTACGAACGTGTATTACTGGCAGCTGAAAGCCCTTTACCAGTGGTATGTGATGCGCACAGTCCGAATCTTCTAGTCTGATTCAAGCATTTTCCTTCGCCGCTGCATCAGGCAGGGTCTAAAAAACCGGCATATGAAGCAGACACGCATGTTATCCGAAACGGCTCACTCAATCGTCTTGAAACCTTCACCAATCTATTCCGTGCAGTGAGGTGAGTGATGGGAGGCAGTGTCGAGACCTGACCTGAGGTCAAAGACCTAAAAAATTCAAAAGGAAAATTGTACATGCAAATACAGACAACTCAAATATCAGAGCCTACTGCACCGATCGCTGTGAAACCTTCACCACAGGATGCGCCATACCTGATTTTCTCTAAATTTGAAAACTTGGTGACCCTGGTTCAAGTTAAAAGCCGTCAAATTTCATAAGTTCTAATATTTTTACCAGCAGGCAACTCATTTCGGAACAATCGCTCCGATCACTTCCAAACCTTCACCACTCGATGGGACATGCCTAGCAGCTGCAATGTATGCCACGCCGCCATATACTATTGTTTGTGTAGCACCAAAGTGCAGGCATTTTTATTCTAATTTTTGCGGTCGTGTACATTACAGCAACATAATTTCTCCATATTGTGTGCGCTAACGCAAGAGCGTCATATTCTGTTTTTGTGAGCAAAGACACAAAGTACACTGCCCGAGGCATGTTTAATTCGGCACATTTAGGACAGTCGTGATCGTCCAATCAAACATTGACGTGGCCGCGCACAACACGCACGACGAAGCTCAAGGTTCCCGTTGACTAAGGCAGTGGCGTCTTTTCCTTGAGTTTTGCCCTTGCTCGCCTTTGGGACTTATACCTCCGTGACAAGCTATACAGTGAGTGCAGAAAGCTTTCCCCCAAGACGGATTCTGAGGCTATTGATCTGTCACAGCGAAAGACTGACCAAACCGGTCCGTTCAGGCCCAGACTCAGTTCGATTTGGCAGATTTCTGAACGACTTGGAGCCAGCAGCCTACAAAAGACTGCTGAGGGGGCGTGCACATAATTACGATAAAACGGTACCCGCACACCACACACATTGATCAGCCACGTACCATCACGTGTTTTGCGGCCAAGTTTCTGTTAATCATGGCGGCACCATGCACAATTCAGCGCGTGATTTTCAGTACATCTCCGCTAAAGTCAGCTAAAGGAGAAAGTCAGCCTCATAAGGCCAGCCTAACCAAGATGCACGTTTTCTTTCAAGAAAAAAAAACATGAAAGGGAAAGGCATCATTGTGAATGGCAGCATGTTTGCAGTTTCAACAGAGAATAAGGGTAAATGGCGTGCTGGATGGTAAGGTTTAGCAGCTATCGGTGTGGTAGGTTCTGAGCTGTGTTGTCTACAAGCCATAGTTTGGAATTTGTGAAATTTGATGACTTTTGAGCTGACCAAGGCTCACCAAATTTTCAACTGCAGTAGGGAATCAGGTAAAGCGCATCCAATGGTGAATGCTTCACAGCGATCGGTGCAGTGGGCTCTGAGATCTGAGTTGTCTGCATTTGCATGTTAAATCTCCCCTTTGCGTTTTCGATGTGCTCGGCCTCAGGTCAGGTCTCGATGTCGTCTCCTCATGACTCACCTCATTGCACGGAATCGATTGGTGAAGGTTTCAAGGCTATCAAAAGAGCCGTTTCGGAGAGCGTGCGTGTCTGCTCCATGCGCTGTTTTTTAAATACCCTGCCGCTGCATCATGACCGTCACTCTTCAAGCAGGGCAGTCCCAATTAGCTCTGTGCTTTCAAGTTATGATTTGACAACAAAAGTTATTTCGGCTAACGGTAGATTTACATTGCCGGCCGATAATGCTCTTACAATAACATGATTAACACAAGGCTTTGCCTTTCGCGCGCAGGGTTAAGTATTTCACATTGGATACCGCACCTGCCCAAATCACCGCTCAAGCCGATTTACTACCATTCGGTGATAGGCTTGCGGGTACTCGACCGAATAACATTGCATTTTACAAACCTTAACAGTATGTTAAAATGACAGCTGATAGCCTTGTCACAATGCGATTGAACGAGCATCGCAGCGTCTTCGCGATTAATTGCAAGTATTTTTGCCAGGTCGCCGTATTATGACCATCACTGTACGTGCAGCCCAACCGCCGTTACACGATCGCTGCCAAGCGGTAATATCAATAAAACAGGTCCTGTTTGCCGATGTGAGATTTACGTTGCCGGCCGATAATGCCTTCACAATAACATCGTTAACACAAAGTTTCACCTTCCACACATTCATGGAATTATTTCGAGCTGAGCTCCGTGTCCGCAGCAACCACCGCCCCACCGGGCCCCGCAGCATTGAGTGGTACACTGTCGGGGGATCGAACGAATAAAATCGAAACAAAAATATGGCGTGTACGTTCTGTGCTCAGCTGATAACCCTTCACCAGTGAGACCGAATGGAGAAGTAGCGGCCTCCGGTTTGATTACAAAAGTTTTTGGGAGGTCGTGTATTATGCGATCACTGTACGGGCAAGCAAGCCAGCCGCCGTTAGCAGGTCACTGTCAGGGAGTGATCTGAGAAAAAGCGGGTCCTATCTTCCGGTGCGAAATCGACATTGCCGGCGAATGGTGTCCAACAATAGCATCGTTGGTACCAGGTTGCACCTTCCGCGCACATGTAAAAGTAGTTACAATTCGACACCGTCTCTGTGCAAGTCACCGCTCCAGCCGGCCCGTCAGCATAGAAGAGCGTTCTGTCGCGCGGTCAACCAAATACAATAAAAAATAATATCTGACGGCTGTATTGTTTTGACAGCTGACAGCTCTACATGAGTGCTATGGACAACGAACAGCCACAATCTTTGCGTTTGGTTGTAACTATTTTTTCTCGGGCCTCCGTATTATGGACATCATTGTACGCACATGCCGACCGCTGTTAGCTCTACGTTGTCAAGGGGTGATTTGAAAAGGTCATGTTTCCCCATGCGTGACTGATATGGCCCGCCAGTATCAAGTGATAGCTATTCGGTGGTCGACCGAACGCAGTCAGACAAAAAATATGACAAGTGTTTTACTGTCAGCTGAAACCCCTACACCACCGCTATTGAATTCATTCAGTCGCAGTCCTGGAGTTTGATTATGAGGGTTTCGACCGGACCATCGTATTATGGCCACCACCCCACGTGCAAGCCGGATGCAGTCAACACTGCACTGTCAGGGGGTGATTTGGAGAAACAAGATCATGTCGGCCGATGGTGAATTATCATTGCCGGAAGACAGTGCTCCCGCAATGGCATAGTCATCACAAGGTTGCACCTTCCGCGTACAAGTAAAAGTGTTCCAAAGTGGACGCCATATTTGTGCAAAAAGACGGGCCAGCCGGCCCGCCAGCAGTGAGTGGGACGCTGTAGTGTGGTCAACCTAATTAACTGAAACGCAAATCTGACGAGTGCGTCGTAGTAGCAGCCCATAGCCCTGCGCTAGGGGTATCGAATTAGAATGCACACAGTTGCAACATTCTGGTATATTATGAATATCTTTCGGGTCGTCACATTATGGTCGTCACTCTACGAGTAGGCCGGTCGACGGTAGCTTATCACCGTCAAGGCGTGATTTCAGCTATAGCGACATCGTTTTGATGCTTGGAACATTGAACATTTCTATCACATAAAGTTTTACATTAATGGTCGTGTGTTTGGTCATCAACACGCACCCGGGTGGCCGGCTAGATACTCTTCGCTCGGGTGGGGGTCAATTTGACCCCCGTGAGATCTCGGGAACTAAGAAAGCTAGAGACACTAAACTTACAGGGTGTCTTGACCTGTACGTAAACTCACTCAGGGCAAAGTTTAAACTTCATAGGTTATGATCTTTCTGTCATATAAGGTCAAACAAGGTCAAATTTCAGGTTAGTCTCCAAAGTGCCCCCAGAACCTAGACAACTGTTTCTAAGCAAAAGTTCACAGGCCCATTTAAGGTCAGTTACCTTGTTTGACCTTTTGAAGGTTATGGTGACCAAAACCGTACAAGAATGCTCTGAGTTTTGCATTTGAGTAAGCGACAAAGATTACGCTAGGCAGTAGGTTCCTAGAAAATATGTTGGACCGGGTCATCTTAGGTCAACGACCTATTCTGACTACTAAGAAGTCAATGGAAGATGCATAATGTGGTTCCTGCTGTCAATAAATTCGAAATGAACACCACAAATTATCCCATACATCAAGCCCTAGAGTAATCAATCAAGTTGTTTTTGACCTTGGTCTGCCTTTATACCTGATCTTAGGTCAACGTAATTTGTTCATTCAATATTTGTGGTGCCTAAGAAAACATCTCAGAGATGTATGGCTTCGTCAAATACTCCGTTATTGTATCAGATTGGATGATTCCCTAGAAGTTACCTTCGCTGCAACTATGACCTGACTTTGAACTGCCATAGGTCAGCGACCTTACGAGGTACATCTAAATTTTTGTGTCAAACGATCCGCTATTCAATCGTCTACAGTTATGCAAAACTTTTCTACAACTATTCGCGAACTATTCTGGAAAACCTCCGGGGGTCAGTTTAACCCCCAACCAAGCGCTTGTTAATGGTCGTGTGCGGCAACCAAACTGGCTGGTCAAGACCACTTCACCCCGAAACAAATGTGTCTGGCCGTTAGCATCAATGACGTCATCGCACGGCGCGTGCGTCTTCATCACAACATTGAATCACGTGCCGTTGCGTTATCACGGTTTTAAAGGCCTTGGCTGCAGCTTATCTGGCGCATCTATGCGCCAGACTTTCTGGGAGTTACTATGTGTTTACATATGGTGGAGAGGTTTCGTGGCCTCGGTTGGTGTTGGCACGTATCGGGGGGAGTCCGTGGCCGTTTTGGGAGATTATGGCAGTATTTTTAGGATTATAACAAATTGTAGTTTTACTGCGGTGCTGTGAGCGATCATGATCGAAATATCATGTGATCTTCTTGACGGCCCCGTGTTTCTGGCCGGTCAGACACTCCGCTGCACCATCACCTTGCTCTGTCCTGAGCTAGACAGGCACGCGCCTGCAACTTCCAACTGTGATGTTTGTGAGAACTTGGCATGGGTTAGTGCTCAGGTGAGATCATGTGAGAGTGTTAGTTTTTGGTTATCAACAAGCAGTGAGGTGTACAATGTGTAAACTGTCAGTATTTATGATGTTCAACTCTGACCAATATCATTCTTTGTGTGTAACCAGGTGCATTTGAATTGGAGAGGAGCTAGGGTCTGTAAGCCTCAACTTCATGTAAGTCTAGCATGGACACCATGAATGGGAAGAAATAAGTGCTCACAGCTCTTTCCCTGCAGCTATCTTCCATCTTAGGGGAATGTCATTGCCCACACATTTTGCTAGAGCTGAGATGGCATGAAACAATTAACAAATTTTGTGCAACCTTCATGGTGTCCAGTTTAAAAGATACCCCCTGTGCTGTCTATTTGTCATTGATGTATAGATGTATATTGATGTACAGTTTGCCTCATCTTTGCAAGCCCTGCTTGGCTGTAACTTCAGGGGAGCATTTTAAAAATTGCAAGTATGGGAGGGATTAAGAGTAAAATTCCCAAAAAATATTAAGAGATAATGGAATACTGAAAAGCTAACAAAAGCTTTGTCCTGAACAAAGAAAACATAGCAAGCAGAAACAAGCAGGAACCAACATGTATCAGCATTCTATGCACTAACAGGGCATTGGGAGAATTTGCAGAAGAAATGGTCGTAAGCCATATTTGTGATGGATGTTTAAAAATATCTGAACAACACTTGAAGTATGGTGTCAACAAACAGTCTAAAATATAAACTGGGATGGGACAGCCTGAAGATAAGACTGATTTTATGCAGACCACTTAGTAACTTATCATTTTTATTTTATCCCAGAGACATTATCATCCCAATCCCAGGTTATATGCAACAAAGAATATAATAGGGGATTATGGTAATGATATAATCTACAGAACTTCCACTTATCAGTGCTAATACATGGCAATTATCCATGTACATGGGCAACAACTTCTATTCATTGCTGTACAAGGGAAAGCTAATGCCATTTTTTTAATGCAACACAAAAACATTTCCAGCAGAACTAGTCACTTCTACCTTCTACCTTCAGCCTGTTCTGTTCACATCAGGTTGTCTTGCCTAGATTGTCAGCCTCACAGATCATCATATGAAGATCTTAAAAATAAAGGCCTCATTTTCTCACCAATCTGGCTTTAGCAGCTGAAACCTTTTGTTAAAAAGCTACTGTTTTGTTCTTCCAGAGAATGCATTAATATTAGAGGTCTGGTTTTACACCTTCCCCTGAGATATAGTTAGATGGAAAATTGGGCATCCTTCATTCATTCCTTGTGTTCACCCCATTGTTGTTTTGTGCATGTGTACATGCACCATGATTTGAACCTGAAATATTCCATGGAGAGGAAAAAATAAGGACCAGTTTTGCCCAAAATGTCAACAGTTTTATCATTTTTAGTATTTCTGGGGGAAACGGTCTGAATTATGCAAAAGTGTCTGGGCTAACACGAACATTGTGATAATAGGAACAAAGCCCCATACAGGAAGGGGCAAGTCTCCACTGATGGTACTGCAGTGTCTCAGGCATTGGCCCACTTCGACAGTGGCTGGTGACGCTGGCCTGCCTCTGACACTGGTTGCATACCTCCGGCCAGGTGCAGTGCTTCTGCCAGGTGAACGAGGGCAAGGTGCGTCAGCGGGCGGCGGCCGACCCCGAGCTGGCGGCCGTCTCCAGCACGGCCTACCTGCCGGACCGCGGCGAACGCGGCCGCATCGTGCTGGCCACCAAGCCCACCATCCTGGTGTGCGACCTGCGCCTGCGGCCCGGCCAGTCGCGCCGGCTGGACTACCGGCAGGTCCTGCCCACCGACGCCATACCCTCCTACCTGGGACAGGCCGTCCGCTATGTGTACAAGGTCAGTCCTGTGGTGGCCGGCAACGCCTCTTTTTCAACGGCCATTGGACGGCTTTTAGTCTGCACGACTAAAAAAAGTCGGACTGTTTTCAGTCCTTAAATGTTTTCATGTCGAATAGCCCCGCGAGCGACGGGACCGTTTCAGTTCGAATCTCTCATAGAGACGCGAGCGTTCACTCAGTGATGAGTACTGAGCGCGCTGCCTCGTGGCGGCCGGCCCCCGGCAGGTGACGGTGGGTGCTCAGCGGGTGAACAGCTCGATCCGGCTGCTGCGTGTGCCGGTGCGCGTGCTGCCGCTGGACGCGCGCGCCGCCCCCCACCACAGCGACACGGACGACATCTGCCCGTCGAACCCGTTCCTGCCGGTGGGCGACGGCGGCGAGTCGGCGCACGAGGTGACGCTGCAGCTGCTGCAGCACCGCACGGCGCGCCGCGCGCCCAACTACTACAACATCACTAACCAGGTGACGGCGCGACGGCGGCCGGCGCGGGGGCGCGGGCGTGGGCCGGCATCGCCCGCACGGGCCGGCATCGCCCGTTACTGTTACCGTTACCGTTAGGGGAAGGGTAAGTGGATGAGTTGCAACGTGGCAAATCATCACATCACCCGACTTTGCGACACAGCTGGGGTCAACAGTCGGGTTGCCCAGCAGGTTTGGAATGAGCTGACGTGGACGTATCAAGGTCGTAGCGGTGTCCTGATACGGAGCTCAAAGGAAGCGTTATGTATGTGCCTACCTGTATGCCTAATGTATCTGCCCATCTTAGTGATGGTCGTTGAGGTACAATAGTTTTGCAAAGGCTGTGTAGGGAATGATTCGATTACTTCTATTAGCCCCGTGGGGCCAGAACCGTGTTGGGCAATTGTGCTTGGCTGAAAGCTAATTCCGGGTGGCGTTAAAGTACCAATGTCATAATGAGGAAATATTGGTCAAGACCTGCTAGGGGTGGGGGTAAGGAAGCAATGGTAAAGGGCCATTCCAGGACGGATTGGAACCAGGCTGTTCTCAAATGGATTGGAACCTGACCACACCGTCAACAGCTCTCGCCGGCCAGATCAGATCAGGGCATGCATCCACAGGACGCACAGGAATGGCAATGTGGTTCTCGTATATCATAGATACACTCCACCCATACCCATCAATTCTTTGGATCTGGCCAGGTAGGGAAATGCCATTCATGACTGGGATTGTAGGACTATAGAGAGGTAACACGGACATGGAGATCTGAGGAACTGGGAGGAATATGCCAGCCGCTAAGCGCGCTTCCCGGAAGTGGGATGATTTCGTGTTTATGGACAGGGTCGGGGATGCACCAGCCGAGCCACAGGCAATGCAACGTTTTCTGGGCGGCAGAATGGATCCGGTGCCGCAGGGCTGTGTGGCCGCACCGTCAGCAGACGAGCGCCGGCGGCTGGCTCCCCTGATCCGACTGGCCCGTTCGCCGCGTGGGCCGGCTCCCTCTGACGCCGCTCGCTCCGCCGGCAGCACGGCCGCGTGGTGCGCTTCTGCCTGTTCAAGACGGTCTTCAAGCTGGGCGAGGAGGTGGCGGCCACGCTTGACTTCAGCCAGGCGGACGTGCGGTGCGTGCAGTACTCGGTCACGCTCGAGAGCGTGGAGACCGTGCACGAGCGCCACCAGCAGCGCGCCCACCAGAAGCCCGTGACGCGCGCCTACAACAAGTGCCACGAGGTGAGGCGCTGCTCTCGGGTCAGCGGGGCGGCGCGCCGGCAGCTCGGCGCAGCTCTCACTCGTAAGCCCGACGATCCCACCGGCGGACGCGTCCAGCAGCCTCTGGGTTGCTAGTGCAAATGGCATGCGCATTGTAGGTCTGCGTATAAAAATGTACTTTCCAGTGGATAGCATCCTTTGGTATAAATAACAATCTGCGGGGAATCCTGCAGGTGATAGGATCAGCGTCACCCACATAGGCGGGGCAGAGGCCTTTCTCAGCAATACATGCGTAGAGGGCGGAGGCCCATGAGCTATTTCAAGACACCTCACCAAAGTTGGCCTCGAACCGTTCATCATCATGCCTTCGACTTTGATGAAATCCGGCACATGCTTGTATCTGTATCACAAAGTATATCCCTCGGATTTTAAGTGTTGTAGGTCACATGGGTCACGGAAGGGAGGTCTCAGGAATTTCAGGGTCACGTGGAAAATTGGACCAAAACATAATTTATATATCTGCAACGCATGCTCAGATATGACCAAAGCTGCGTGCTGTTAGAAAACAAATGACCTGCTGCATTCACGAGACATGCCCGTGACCTCGTTACCTACCCGCACTTGCGTGACCTTTTAAATGGTTTGGTTCTGAACATAAGTATTTTTCACTGAAGAATGCCCAGCACATTGCCTGAGCAATCACAGCTTGCTTTGTTGCTCCGATTCCATGTCGTGTCCAAACGGGGTCAACAGTAAGGTCGTGACATGGGCCTGTACGTGCCTTCGGTGCGTGACGTGAAGCATACCAATATGGGTGTTATGGGAAAGCCGGTCACCCAACAAGCACAGTGGTAATGTTTTCAAAAATGCGAAATCACGCAAGCTATATGAAAATTAATACCCGAACGCATCCTTGTGCATTGATGACTTCAAAAACAGCGCGAAAGAAAGTTCATTGGCTTATATCTTGTGATAAATGTGGCCTGGTAGGTTAAAAATAACATCGATGTAGTACGGGATATTGCGCCAAATTTTATCCAAATCGAAAAGGTTACGGCGAGCATGCTTCGGTGATTCCGCGGAAAAGTCCGTCGGTAGTGCCTTTACAGTCGGGGCAGAGGTGTTCGGTGGGTGGAACAGGGGCCCATGTTAGCATTCTCTGCACAGGCGGACAGGGTCCAGTGTCAGCACTGCCTTCACGGGTGCTGCCTGCGTTTACATACACATATCATGATCTGGAGAAATCCACTGGACCGGCTCTATCAAACAACTGACGATTTGGCGATCAGGCCAACCGCTGTAATTCGCGACGCGTCCGACGCCGACGCCGACGCCGCGTAAGATGGGCGCCGCTGACTTGCCTGTCCCGCCTGGCCAGGTGTGCCTGAACCTGGAGGAGACGCACGTGATGCTGCCCGTGCCGCTGCACGTGACGCCCACGTTCCGCTCCGAGCTGGTGGCGCTCGACTGGCGGCTACACTTCGAGTTCGTCACGACGACGGGCGGCGCGACGCCCATGGCCGCAGCCGCCGACCCGGCCCACCACGCCACGTGGGAGGCGCCGGGCGCGCTGCCGATCGAGACCATGGTGTGGGACCTGCCCGTGCAGCTGTGCTCCACCAGCCCCGGCCACGTGGCGCAGGGCCTGCATATGGACGTGGTGCACACGGTCAAGGTTTAGCGTGCGCCGCCGGCCGGGGTTCGGCCGCCCTTCGGGACCGCGTCAGGAGACAGCCGCGACCGACAGACCGACACAGCCCGGCCCCACGCGCCAGACGGCGGCGCGGCTGGGACTCCACCCTACCCGCTGAGGAGCGGACGGCCGATGCAGGACGAGGTGGTTGCGGCAGATGTGGCGGGGTGCGACGTGTGATGGACCTGTGCTGTCTCCCACTCCGGGTATCGGCCCTCCGTTCCACGTCCGGTCCCGTCCCAACGCAGCCGGGTGCCTGGCCGTCGTGACTGCGTGATACATTACCGAGGGCCGGCTGTCGTACCTCTCGCTGCTGTTGTCGGCGCTGCATGCTCGGGTCAGGTCAGACCGGCGAGTCGACTGGAACGGCCGGGCCACGTCTCGGGCCCACGGTCGTGTTCGGTAAGCATGTCCAACTGTCCATCGTAGGTATGGTTGCTCACCTGTGCACTGGTTGGCAACCACCGTGTCAGAAAGCGGCGCGCGCCTGTGGCGCCGGTGTTTTGTTTTAGAGAATGTTTTGGGCTGTCATACCTCGTCGACGTACAGCTTCTCAAATCGTTGGCAATAAATATTTATGCACATGTTCGAATTGCTGAGCAGATTTTTACTGCTAGCAACTCCATCGCCTTTACATCACATGCAGGCCTTCCCTCCTCCACGACGTGACGCCATGTCTGCGTTTGCATGAAGCACGCACCCTTTCACTACGTTAGGCGCAAGGTTGCTGGGGTTTGGTGAACGCAAACGTGTCCACTCTGTCGCTTCGCCTCCATTTCTCACATATTGCGCGTCGCGCCGCGGAGCGAGGGCTATTTAAGGAAAGGAACCGGACTATTCATGAGCCGCGTTCCAACGCAGGTCCATGCAGTCCGCCGCGGAAAGGTCGTGCTTGAAACAAAGGCATGCACCAGCGTGAGGAACAAAGCATACACCCGAAAGGGCAGGTAAGGCAGGCATATGGGCGTAAGCGGCGGAAATTACCTCCCGACAGATGGGGCGTAATCTGGAGGGCAAAGGGCACGTCGTATCGTGCCAACGATAGTAACTGGAAGCAGCGCGCTGCGACCACGTGGGCGTGCGTCTGTTAGCAAGAGTCCAGTCAGCAGGGAGGGCGGAGATCTACGTCGTGAGCCATGCCAAAGTCCACCAGCGAATGTCGGTCGTCATCAGCTGGGGGGGGGGGGGGGGGTCGCCGGGCGGCGTCCGGGTCAGCTGTGCATCTCAGCCCCGGCACCGGCCACCAGCGACTGTCGGCTGCATCGGACCTCCCCCCCCCCCCCCCCCCCATGCTCCGACTGGGACTCAGCCGATTACGCAACATCTCGAAATGCCAGATCGCCCGAATGACAGGTGGAAGCCGAGTTTTCCCTGTCACCAGAGGCAGGCACTTACTGAGCGCGACTACCGACATACAGGAGTGGTGAACAAGCGCATACTACAGATTCTGCCCAGCCGGCTGGCGGAGTAATATTTGGCATCCATAACTTTATTTAATAAAAACACTGTGTCAACAATGTTTGCCAACGTGGCGTCGCAATCGTTAAATCGCCGCACTTCACAATACACTACTTGTGATCACTCGCGCTATGGACCTGTGGTGGGGCTGGGGGAGGGCAAAGGAACAGAACACTAGAAATACAACAAAACGGCTATGAAAATAGTCCAGTTATTGTACAAATGTGGGGCGGCGTAAAATGCCAGCCTGGTGGCAAGGATGGGATGAGGCGCGCGTGCGGGAGGTGCGCGCGCGGCCGCCGGCCGGCGCCGCGCCGTCCGTTTGTACGTGGGGCGCGACCCGGTCCTTCGGCTGGCACCCGTATCACAGAGGGGGTGGGGGCGGCGCGCGCGCCGCTCACCGCGGCCCGTTGACGCGCAGCTGCCCGTTGCGGTGCGGCCAGCCACGACCGTTCTCGCCGTTCACCACACTCGCGAGGAAGCCCTCCAGCACCTGCGCCAAGTGTTTCCGCTTGAGCCGCCGCGACTCTGCGATAATCTCGCGCACGAAGTCGGCGCGCGTCTCACTGTCGCCCTGTGCCGTCGCCAGCCGGCTGAAGAGCGTGTCGTAGTCTGGAAGCGGGCGGTCTCCGGTTAGGCTCAGGTCACGGCGAAGGCAGCGGCGGCAGATCAGTGCCGTAAGATGAGCTGCGCAGTTACGTCAGAAGCGGTACCAAGAACGACAGATCAGCAGAGCAGACAGGGTTTCTCGCAAATACAATGCACGTGGCGTGACTCCGATGAGCCGGCTCGCAAGCCGAAATCAGCATTGCAAAGTATCAACAAAGCATGAGGTAAAACTGGCGCGCCTCGCCACCGTTGCCCTGTCACGACAGATCTGCGAGCGGGCCGGCGACTGATCACCTGCCGCCACGGACCGGCCGCTCGCGAGCGACGACCGCAGCTGACTGTTACTGACGGGGTCCAGGATACCCCCGACCGTCACGATAACCGGCCAGGCTCGAAACGCTGCCGGCTGCACCCAACCAACCAACAAACGCGTGCGCCACTGTAATTTGGCGTCGTTACATGGTTCTAATCAGAATATTTATGAGACAGGACGCACGAGAGGAAAGCCTGGAATACAAAGGCATGACGAACGACCCGTGACTGCTGATCAGGTAGTGGTGAAACATGATACAAAAACAGGCGCCTGGTTCACACAGACGTTAATCAATAGAACTGTTTAGTGAGCCAGTAATGCATATAACATCTTCTACCCACGGGGCGCACGTTGCGTTGCCATCACGTTGCTCCCACCAACGTTTACCACTACAAAGGCGACAGTCGCGAGCGTCGCGAAGCGATATCGCCAACGCACCAAACGTCTGGCAATATAACGCTGCGCGTGGGCCTTGTGAACATACGCTTGATCTTTAGATTGGAGCTGGTCGACGTCAAAATGAACAAAAGTCAGCTGCAACACGCACAACGAAGGGAACGGTCGATCAGCATTGAAATACGTTGTCGAGGGTCTTTTAACTAGTTTCTTGAATTCGTCTCTGCACCGAGGACATCCTCATTACGCACATCTCAAGGTAAATCCGTCACTTTTTTAAGAAAACTGACGGTACATTTAGTCCAACCGGACATGCGCCAGAAAAAAACTTTCACGAAGGAGACCGTATCACTGAGCAGCCCGCGGGTACGCCCGTGGAAAGAGCCTACCAGCGTGTCTGTGCTCGCCTGCCCGGCCGGCCAGCTCGGCTCCGGTCGGCGGAGGGCCGACGCGACGGGACACTCACTCCTGCCGGGCCGGCGGATCTCCTTGTAGAGCGCCAGCCGCAGCTGCCGGTTCAAGCGGCGGTCAGGCTGGCTAGCCTGCAGACCGCCGTTGACGGTCGGCGGCGAGACGCCGGCCGTGCGCGGCGACGGCGGCGGCGACAGGCTGACCGGCGCCGACTCCGACGACGGCTCCGGCTGGGTCCGAATCTCCGACAGCTCCGTGTCTGGGGACGGCAACGACAGCGCGTCAGGGGGGCACATCCCAGCGCCGCGCCCGGGCACAGCGAGCCACAGTGCAGGTCCGGTCTGGCTACAGCTCGGTGTCTAGGGGACGGCGACGACAGCGCGCCAGAGAGACACGTCCCGGCTCCGCGCTCGGGCACAGCGAGCCACAGTGCAGGTCCAGACTGGCTACAGCTCCGTGTCTGGGGACGGCGGCGACAGCTCGTCAGGCAGACACATCTCGGCTCCGCGTTCGGGCACAGCGAGCGACAGCGCAGGTCCGACCTGGCTACAGCTCCGTGCGTGACAGGATCATCAGACCCGTGGATCGCGTCACCGTCACCGTCACTGCCCCTACCGTCCTCCAGCTCCTCTATGGTGACCACGGTGGGCTGTGTCGGCGGCGGCGGCGTCGGCGGCAGCACCACCACCGGTGCCGGCGGCGCCGGTGGGGTCGGCGCCGCCGGCATCGCCGTCGATGGCGGCGGCGGCGCGGGCGGCAGCGGCGGGGCCGACACTGCCGGCTGGGCAGGCGGCGGCGGCGAGACGGGCGGCGGCGGGGGCGGCGCCACCGGCGTCGGGAGCGGCGCCGCCGGCACCGGCAGCGGCGCCACCGGCGTCGGCAGCGGCGCCGGCGCGGCGGCCGGCTCGCCCACCGGCGGCGTCACGGTGATGGGTGGCGACGCCGGCGCCGGCTTGTCCGGGATGACGGGCGCCGGCGAGGCGGGCCGGCGCGCCAGGCCGGCCGGGTCCCGGCCCGGCGGGCCCAGCCGCCGCTGCTTGCCACGCCCCGGTCCGGACGGCTCGCCCGGCCGCTTGCCCGGTCGCACGCCGCCAGACTTGTCCAGCAGGTCGATGTCGGCCTCGTCCACCATCATACGCTGCGGACCAGACACCCGTCAGCCGACCAGCCGTGGCAGGCCTGTTGGGATATCGCGAGATATCTGCCTTGTCCGCGGCGCGCACAAACCGCCTGCCCGCTAAGAAATGCAGACACAGGGTGACGTGTTCAATGAGGGTAGCAGTCACAGACCTCGTGGACTATTCAACTATCTCCATACGCGTTCCACCAAGACTGGATGGAGTAACACACCGCATATCGATAGACTAACGCATCGCAACCAATTCATCGCACAAATCGGTCCACTTGTTGCAGAAAATGGCCCATAAGCACGTACGTGAGTGGCATTCGAACAACACGCCACCCAGTGGGCTCACGTCCCCGCCCAGTCACCTTGTCGATTTTGAAGGGATTTCCGAACATGTGCTGGCGCACCGGCACCGTCTCGATCTCGCGCAGCGGCGCCGGCAGCCGCTTCAGGTAGTCCTGGTAGTTGCCCATCTGACTGACGGCCATGTTGTGCACCTGGTCCTGCGGAGAGGCGGGGTCGGGGTCGGGGTCGGGGTCGGCGGTGAGGCGGGGCCGGGCCGGGCGGGGCGATCGGCCGCCGGCGGTGGCGCTCGCTGGCGGCCGTCGCAGAGCGGCGGTCTCACAACAGCGAGCGGCCCTCAGTGCCTTCGCGGCCAGGCACCGGACACTGCACAGCTTTGAAAACGGAGCAGTGCCAAGCGCAACAAGTGAACGGTATGGAGGGAAGGGTGCAACTCGGCTGCCTCATGCCAGCCCCAAAACCCGCCCACTCAACACCACACAGGTGGATGAGCATCACACGCCGCTGCCAGTTAACAACAGGAAGATCGGACGGGTTGGACCGTCGATTTCAACACCACCGGCCACAATACCGACGCCGTTCGGAGTTCCCGCGTCCACGAATCCTGAAGAGAGTGCGGCGCGGCCCGGCCGGCCGGCCCGCTATCGTACCTGGTCCTGCATGCGCACGAGGCCCACGCTGGTCTGCATGAAGTTGGCGCGCATGCGCACCAGCTGGTCGAGCAGATGGCGCCGGCTGATGTCGAACGGGTTGCGGTAGCTCTGCGTGGCGAGCTCGCCGTCCCGTACGGCCAGCGTCAGGCCGGCCATGTACTGCATCGGCTCCAGCAGGCTCGCGAACTTGTCTGCCGGCCAGCACGGATCGGACGTGACGGCGACCATCCCACATCACGTGCAGCCACGTCATACCAGCCGATCTCGGTCTTACAAGTCATTCGAAATGTAGACTGAGGAACGTGTCGGCACCAGGGGTATAAGAAGGGTGCATGTACAATACAGCAGCACATCGGCATTAAGAAACATACGCTGATGAGAAAATAAACCATCATAACCAGCCATGGTCTATGCTCAGACGACGAACCCTGACCTCCCCGCTCCCAAGCTTTTATACGGAATCAACTATTTTCGACAGACAGGAAATGTCACGACCGCACGAGTTTCAACACCCTTACGATCCAACGAACGCGCAAAGCACAAGCGCCCACACTTTTTTCCACTCGGCATGAAAAACGTTTCCGTGCGCAGCAGGAACGCCGTGGCACTGGTGCCAAAGCGTTCCTGCTGCGTGGCACCAGTGCCGACGGCAGCGCTGGCCGCGGCGCCGGCCGCCGCCCGGTCCACGCACCGCTGAGCGCCGGGTTGCTGGTGGCTTCTCGTCGGGTGGACTTGCGGCTGGTGACCTTGATGCCGACCTGGTCGGAGCCCGGCAGACGCGCCGACACCTCGCTGCACAGCCGGTCGTACTCCATCTTGGCCTGGTTCTTGAGCCGCTTCAGGTGGTTGATGACGTTGACGGAGAGGCCGTTGTCCAGGTTGTCGGGTACCAGGTTGGGCGCGCCCATGCGCTTCAGCGCCTGCCGCAGCGGCTGGAAACGGCACCACGTGGACGTGTCGCTGAAGGGCGGATGCCGGGGCGGGGGCTCGGCCGGGGAGGGGGCTCGGCCAGGTGACGACACGGAGCTTGTCGGGCCCATCCCACTCCGCTCGTACCGCTCGTCATATCAACACAGCGGCATCGTTCCCAAGCGCTGTGTGACCGCATGGGCTGAAAGAATCACCCTCAGATATTGAACGGACGCCACGCAGTTGAGTTCCGCTCCCCCCGGCAAAATGGGACTGGCACGAAAGCGCACTGATTTCCCGCCCCCACCGACCATGTGAAACGAGAAAATCATCTGCCGTCAATGCCATCCTGATGTCATGACCTGCACACACCCGCGACCCAATTATTTTGCAGGAATCTGAACTACGTCCAAACATAACGCTGTTTGACTCGCCTCAAGGATAAAAAGAAGCTAAGTCACGCCGAGCGGCGAAGACGGACCTAGCAGACGGCACATCCCGACGGACCAATTACCTGAGCATAGTAGGCCGGCATGGTGCGCAGGTAGTTGTCGAAGCGGGCCTTCCACTCCTTGGTGGGCTTCAGCCGGTGCACCTTGAACAGCTCGTCCAGCAGCGGCAGCAGCACCGGGTAGTTGTACGGCATGACGAACAGGTTCACACAAGTCAGTGTGGTACTCGCCTTCAGGTAACCAAACGGCAGGCCCGAGTCGCCGTTCTTGGAGCTGTTGGCGATGTACACCTGGCGGCGCGAGCGACGACGGTCAGCTGACGCACAGCGGCGCCACGTGCGCCGCATGACGGACTGGGGTATAAAACACCACTCACCCGCTCGCTCCTCCTCACAAACTGACGCATTCATATTTATTCCAGTTTCGTTACATTGTTATATAATATTTATTGTATTTTGTACAACTGCTATATATAGAGGTAAGTACATATATATATATATATATATATATATATATATATATATATATATATATATATAATCACATGCAATCCAGTGTTTTAGCGATAACAACATGTCTGCAGCGCAGCAACTAGCCATCAGCACAATTGAACCACGAGGCTGCTGTCACAAGTGTCCATGCCGACCGGCGGCGGCGGCGGCGGCGGCGGCGGCGGCGTGCTGACCTGCCAGCAGGTGGCTGGCTGCTTCCGCGACAGGATGAACTGCGTCAGCGGGCTCGGCTCCAGCTCGTACTTGTCGAACGGCAGGTTCTCGATGACCATGGGCTCGCGGCTGGTGCAGGTGAACTTGACGACCGGGTGGGCCGAGCGGGACGGCTGCCGCACGCACAGACAGGTCCACCGTCAGCCGGCGCCGCGCCAGGCGCCGCACAGTCGCCACGAGAGCAACGTCATGTACAGCACGGTGAGGTCACGGCAGTGGCGCCACAGGCCGCGTTGGTCCAGTTACATAGGCGGTTTTCACCACAATCGTTTACACACAAACAATGTGAGCGAGCCGCGCCGCCGTGACTGCGTCGACACCTATCTAACGTCCGCAGCCTACGACTCAGCTCTCCGGCAACAGCGAGCCACCAGGCCGACCTCGGCCACGGATACGCGACGGGGACCAGCTTCCCAGCGCCGGCCCCGGCGGCAGCCGGGCGCCTCTCACCAGTGTGGGCGAGCTGACTTCGGGCCAGAACGCCTCGGGGATGGGCCAGTGGCCCAGTGGGAAGCCCTTCTGCGCCGAGCGCGGCACGTAGATGAGCTTGCGGCAGCTGTGCCACGACTGGCTGGAGAGCGGCAGCGGCGAGGCCGGCCGCGACGACGCCTGGTCGTTGCTGAAGTTGATGACGTTCTCCTTGCCGCCCTCGCTGTCCGTGTCGGCGCCTCCTGGCAGGAGACACGGCTGTATCGTAATTCCGCAGCGACGCGGCGTGGCGTGGAGCGATCGGGCCGTGACGGCTCGCCGTTATGGCAGCCAGCTCTCTACAGCCGCTGCATGTCTACTCTGGCAATCACCTACTGGCTATCATCCACGAAAGGTGGGGTGAGGAGGCAACCAGGCTCTCGACAACATCCAGCTTGCAAGACATCTTTGCCATTAAGTCTATGAATCACACATCCCAAAGTACTTTATGTTTCGTTCCGAGCGTGAGCCGGTGCCCTGTGTGGCGGTCCAGTGTCCGCCTCCCGCCGCCGCCTCGCCCCGGCCGGTGCCCTGTGTGACGGCCCAGTGTCCTCTCCCCGCCGCTGCCTCGCCCCGGCCGAAGCCCTTCGTGACGGCCCAGTGCCCTCTCCCCACCGCCGCCTCCCCCCGGCCGGTCTCCGCCCGCGGCGTCCGTACCGGGATCGGCGGCCACCGGCGGCGGGTCCGGTCCCATCTTCTCGAAGTTGATCACCACCCCGCTCTGGATCTTTTGCACCAGCGACTCCACACACTGCATCAGCATCCGGTGCGAGGTGATGGCGTACGACCGGCCTGGCGACGGGAGCAGCGCCCTCAGACCGCGGACAAACCGCAGACCACACCTCAGACAGACAGCGGCTTCTCGACCATCCGAGGAAGTTTGACTTAACACGCAACGAGGTGAAGAACACAACAGGTGTGCGACACATAAACGCCTGCAGCAGAGCATCTCTAAACGTGAACTTGCTGACAGTCATGACATACCCGAGCCCCACCACATGAAGGGAGCACAGGGAGCCTGCGCGGCCGCCGACATCGGCCTGCGCGGCTCAGCGAGCGTCACTGGTGGGTCGGGGTCGTGGCCGGCGTTGCGGTTGGGGTCGGCGTCAGAGTCAGGGTCGAGGTCAGGGTCGGGGTTGGGGTCGGGGTCGGGGTCAGGGTCAGGGTCGGGGTCGGAGTCGGGGTAGGGGTAGGGGTAGGGGTAGGGGTCGGGGTCGGGGTCGGGGTCGGCGGGGTCGGGGTCGGGGTCGGCGGGGTCGGGGTCGGAGTCGGGGTCGGAGTCGGAGTCGGGGTCGGGGTCAGGGTCGGGGTCGGGGTCGGAGTCGGGGTCGGGGTCGGAGTCGGGGTCGGGGTCGGAGTCGGGGTCGGGGTCGGAGTCGGGGTCGGGGTCGGAGTCGGGGTCGGGGTCGGGGTCGGGGTCGGGGTCGGGGTCGGGGTCGGGGTCGGGGTCGGGGTCGGGGTCGGGGTCGGGGTCGGGGTCGGGGTCGGGGTCGGGATCGGAGTCGGGGTCGGGATCGGGATCGGGTCGGGTCGGGGTCGGGATCGGGAATCGGGGTCGGGATCGGGATCGTGATCGGGATCAGGATCGGGATCGGGGTCGGGGTCGGGGTCGGGTATGGTCAGGTCACATTCAGGGTCGGGTCGCACCTCCGGTAGCGTCGCACAGCTTGCCGATGCCGCTGGTGTCGCTGTCCACCAGGCCGGTGCCGTCGCGCTCGTGCGGCGGCGTGCCGCTCAGGCGCAGCACCAGACTGAACAGCCGCTGGTCCCAGCGGTACACGTCCTTGGTCAGCTCCGTACCCGGGATGCGCGCGTCACGCGGGATCTTGAGCTGTCGGCGCGGCCCGCCGGTCAGCGCCGCACGGACACCCCTGCCATGCTCAGGCGTCCGTGCATCCGGCGATCAACGCCCAGACACCGGACTACGGCGACAAGATGATGCGGCAAACATGAACCCGGTATTGCGCACAATGGGCGCCTTATCGACTGGCGTGCACGTGTGAAACAGCTTGATTAATCGGAACATGCTGCATGGAGGTTATTCCACGCCAAAACTAACTCACGGACCGGCTTGTTTTGGCCGTGCCAGTGAGCTCACCTCGTCCATGATGGACACGTTCTGTCCGGTGAGCCGTCCGCCGTCCGTGATGCACACGATGATGGACGGCTCCAGGAAGAACGGACAGCGCCCCTGGCCGTACATGTCGATCCCTGGCAGCAGAACACGGAAGCTCGTCTCTGGGTCGGCAGACCACGCGTCTCCCTCTGGGTCGGCAGACCATGCGTCTCCCTCTGGGTCGGCAGATCACGCGTCTCCTCTCTGGGTCGGCGGATCGTGCGTCTCCGCGGCGCAGCGCCCCTGGGTCGGCAGATCACGCGTCTCCTCTCTAGGTCGGCGGATCGTGCGTTCCCGCAGCGCAGCGCCTCTGGGTGAGCGGGCCATGTGTCTCCCTCTGGGTCGGCAGACCATGCGTCTCTCTCTGGGTCGGCAGATCACGCGTCTCCCTCCGAGTCGGCAGACCACGCGTCTCTCTCTGGGTCGGCAGATCGTGCGTCTCCGCGGCGCAGCGCCTCTGAGTCGGCAGATCACGCGTCTCCTCTCTAGGTCGGCAGACCATGCATCTCCCTCTGGGTCGGCAGATCACGCGTCTCCCTCTGGGTCGGCGGATCGTGCGTCTCCGCGGCGCAGCGCCCCTGGGTCGGCAGATCACGCGTCTCCTCTCTGGGTCGGCAGATCGTGCGTCTCCGCGGCGCAGCGCCCCTGGGTCGGCAGATCACGCGTCTCCTCTCTGGGTCGGCAGATCACGCGTCTCCCTCTGGGTCGGCGGATCGTGCGTCTCCGCGGCGCAGCGCCCCTGGGTCGGCAGATCACGCGTCTCCCTCTGGGTCGGCAGATCATGCGTCTCCGCGGCGCAGCGCCCCTGGGTCGGCAGATCACGCGTCTCCATCTGGGTCGGCGGATCGTGCGTCTCCGCGGCGCAGCGCCCCTGGGTCGGCAGATCACGCGTCTCCCTCTGGGTCGGCAGACCACGCGTCTCCGCGGCGCAGCGCCTCTGGGTCGGCAGACTACGGGCGCGCTGGCTGCCACAGATCCCGCTAGCTAGCCGGCTTTGGCAATCCACGGTGGTTATCATTTGCATTGACAAGCTTCTACTATTTACGTGTTCCTATCGCTTTGCGCCAGCGAATCAGTGTTGTCTTGGGAATTGGCCGGCAGCGCCTTACAAAGGAAGCAGAGATGCATGTAATTTGATGAGTCTTTGGCATGGGGTTTGGCCTTATCTCCAGAGTGGCCACCATCGTGTCCGTGCGCACGGCCGAACGGCGTGGATGGCTGCCGGAGGTGCACGTTATCACCGCCCCTTCCCCACCCCGACGTACCGGACTGCATCCGGTTCAGGTTCAGAACGTCGAACGTATTCTTGATGGCCATGCCCATGTGAGTCATGCCGAAAGCCTGCAAGTTCTTGAGCTCCTGGGTGAATGTTTGCAGATTCTCCTTCCAGCCGGCCTGCGGAGCGGAAGAGCGGGGTTATGGGCGTAAGATGGCGAAAGTTGGCGCTCCAGTGTCAACGAAAGAACAAGCAGTTATTCGACACAAATGCACGATATAACCGCAATACGGCGCACACTATAAAAGAGACCTGTCAACTCGGTATGGTCATCGCTGTATTCATGGCACGAGGAGTACTGGTATGGCTCTATATAGGGCTGGCCAAAACGTCTGGGTCATAGTAAGTAGGGACTATAATACGGCCAGTTGTACTGGCCATATCAGCACAGCAATGCGATGTTATGGCCCACGTATTATTTTACCATCGTGGTTCTCCCATAAGGCGGTAGCGAAAATTTTAGTGCGTCGTGGTCTATGCCACGACAATGATGGACATCAGGGTATTAAATCAATATTGTGGGCTTCGTGTATTTTACAATTAGTTCGCTCCGGTGCCATGTGTCACAGCCGAGACAAACATGGTGCCTGAGACGATGCAGAGCCAACACAAGTTAATGCGTACATGATTCAGAGCAGGTTTCTGGGAACTAGATTCACAAACAGGAAGTCCGTACAGGAAGCGGTTCAAAGCAAAGCATCACGTGCACTGGCTTGCATAACACAGGCAAAACACAGGTTTTAAAGGGAAATGTTTTGCAATTATGGATAGATCCTTCATGGCAACAATTCGGAAGACATGTGGCTTGTAAAGGAAAGGTAACGTTGGTATCAAATCTCGAGCTCATCACGAACACTTTCACATGAACTGGCGGCCTCGACGAACTGTCAAAAGTACTTTAGGCCACCCAGCCAGTTGCGGGCTGCGCGGTTAATTAAAGAAAACATTATAAACTTGACAACATCTCAGGGCATGTTACCGAAATATCAACCCAACTACGTCTCCATTCTCCTGGTTCTTCCCCCGAAGAAAAAGGCTAATACTACTGTCTTATCTTGTATACATTTTTCTTTCTTCTGCCAGCAGACTACGCGACGCACGTCGTCGTGCCACTCTTGTATGGAATACCAGCGACTAGAGCGGTCATATTGGAGCTCGGGGCCCATACCGTAACTGGGATCCGAACCCGACCCCTGTATGGGGGCCGAAGCTTATCTGCTGTGGTCGCCGAAATATAGTACACATATTTGTCTCCCCCCCAAAAAAAAACACGCACACACACGGGGAAATCGAAGGTTTTCGCACGAGAGCGTGCAGTGAGATGCACGTATTACTCAATACTTTCGCCAATACAGCCGCCCGCTCTCTTCCCCGCTGGGATGTCTCCATACCGAAGCTGCAGTGGGTCAGCGAAATCTGGGCCTGGACCCAAAACAAACTTCCAGCCTTTTCTGCGTTCAAAATTTGACACTTTCCATGTTGAGCAAATGTGTAAACAATCTTTCGCACGGACTGTTACGGAGTAGAAAAACCACAACTGGCAAGGGCATGTCAAGGTTATGCATAACCCCCAAAAGCGCTCGGATGTGGACACTCAAACAGTTTTTTTTTTCCAAAGCGCCTTCTCAACGGAAAGGCGTAGCACTGCCAAACTTGATACAACTGAAAGCATAGCCGATCTTTTGGTGTACAAAATAAATACACCTCAAGGTTTATCATCTGTGGGTCAAAATCGGACCACGGTTGCCAGCGAAAGCAATTATTATGGAATCCTGCACGCTGATGCGACGACGGAGTTTTATAATACGTCCTATGTACAACTTTGGGGCGATTTTAGACAGTTGAACAAAATTATGTATAATTACAACGCATTCCATTAACTTTGTATTAGATGTAAAGTAAAGGAGAGATATGGTCAGATCTAGGCCAACACAACTGTTTACTGGAAAACTGCTGAATGAGGTAGCTTTTTACGTTGATTTCAAAACCCTTCGCTACAAAGCCATCACAGGTTTCTTATTTTTACTTCATGCGGATAGGGTGCGGTTACCGACCTTGGCTACCCACAAACCTTTTCCTCTGAGGAGCATGCCTCCTACGGTAGAACTGAACGCTGATTTCGAATTCACTTTTCCATATGATATCGAGAAGCTTTAGGCGTTTTCATCTTCCAAAAATCACGTAAAATCAAATCTTCCAAAGGCCACAAAATCAATGACCTGATGTGACCCCGAGTGACGTTTTGCACACACAAATCATCTAAACAACAGCCAGTTGCGTGAAGCCAAAGAACACCGATCGCTAATTTATACTTGTTTGACCTAATTCAACCATGAAATCATGACCTCGATACCCAGAATTCGCTACAAATGGGTTCAAGGTCAACTATAAAATGATCTCGATGAGTTTCTCTCGCGATCATATTATTTCTCAGATCTCGATGAGTCATTTTGACCTTGTTAATGTCATATTTACCCAGGGACTTGGGTGCATCGAGCCTCTTTAAATTGTGTTATCTCACGTGGATTAAACTGACCCCCATTCCCACCCCAGCGCATCGTATTTAACCGATCACCCCGGCGCGAGTTAAAAGGTGTCACTTCTTGCTTGTGAAAGCTGTATAACAAATATAGCTGATCGCTGCAATAAAGTTTATGGAGGGCGACGTGCCCGGTCCGGGTCGAGTCATGTCGCTCAAGGTGACAACAATTGGTGAGTCCAACTCGAACCTCGAGTGGCATTCGCTGTAGCTGCGGCCTCACCATCCGCGTCGGGGATACGCACTCAATTCTTTCCATTCATGCCATACACCCAATGTTAACCTGTTCCTATGTTGGAGTCCGCTCTCCAACGACTTGGCATACCATGCCCTCCAAATTTGCACTGTTATCTGCTATCAGAGGTTGGATGTCGGTCTAATTCCCGCACCCGGGTACACGCGCAGATTCTTGTGTGTAGCTGGTCTGGATGTGCAAAATGTGTATACATTAGTATGGCCTTGACGTTTGAAAAGGTCAAACAAGGTCAGCGTATCAAATCATGCTCGTAAGGCATTCACAAGTTAACTGAGTTACTTCGAGTTGGTTACCAGATAATCACGTGAGCCAAACTCACAGACATGCACCAGCGGTGAAGTTCATGAACCGACTGACTGGCATGTCTCAATGGTAACGTTCATGAGCTAAATGGACTGGCACGTATCAACGGCAACAATAATTGATAACTTAAATCGAACTTCTAGACCATTCAAAAGGATTCCGACATCAGGTCGTACTGATCAAATGGCACGCGTCTGATCTGACAATAGATGAAACACACGAAAAACATGGGATGGCCAAAGGTGGGAGAAGAGCGCGTACCCTGTGCGCGGCAGTTGCCGAAAAATATGAAGTAATCCGCGAAAGTATGGAGAAGACGAATTCGCAGATTATAGCCTGCGGCTATGCACGCGTGACCAGCGCGCTAAAAAAAAACGCCTGTGTGAACAGACCATAAGCAGCGGAGTGCAGTGTCACCTCGGCCACTACCTAGAGGCTGGCAAATGTGGCGTGACTCCTCCAGTTGGCGGGATGCAAGCTCAGGCAACCCGCTCGCCTGTCGTCCGTTCGTACCTTTATATGATATGGGTGGTAGGCTCAGGAAGCCCGCTCGCCTGTCGCCCGCTCGTACCTTTATATGATATGGGTGGTAAGCTCAGGCAGCCCGCTCGCCTGTCGCCCGTTCGTACCTTTATATGATATGGGTGGTAAGCTCAGGCAGCCCGCTCGCCTGTCACCCGTTCGTACCGTTATATGATATGGGTGGTAAGCTCAGGCAGCCCGCTCGCCTGTCGCCCGTTCGTACCTTTATATGATATGGGTGGTAAGCTCAGGCAGCCCGCTCGCCTGTCGCTCGTTCGTACCTTTATATGATATGGGTGGTCTTCGAAGGTCAGCAGCATGTACCTGTCACCCTTGCTTTCTGGTGATCTCTGTCTGATCTGGAATCGAAACGCATCACCGTGTTAGACACAAATTAGACTGTGTCGATGGAAACGCAATTACAGATGAGAAGACGCATGGACATAAAAATCCAAAAGAACGTAAAAACAGCAAAAGACCTCGGCGCCCCACGCTCGCACTGAGCTCCATCTATTGAGCACATCTGGTATTACACTGTAACATGCACAGCGGTTGTAACAGGAACAGCCATGAAAAAGCCAATTGTAGCAGCTTATACGACGGCGGCAAGGGGTATAATGACGCAAGCGGTGACCGCCGGCGTCATGCACAGCAGCGCAGAGTTTGTTCGACAGTGTTGACGAATCAGTCCTGCAGTACCAATTCCTACGTCCAGAATACAGTCTCGGCATTGTAGTGTGGCAGTACGAGACACACAAAATCAAACACCACTAGCACCGTTTACGCGGAGCAATATGCTGCAGTTGATGTGCTCAATAAGTCCTAATAGCGGACGACTCCCGCGTGCATACAGTCTGGCGCCACCACCCTTCATTTTTCTTAACACAACAGCGCGGCAATGGTCACTATCGGTCAAAACTGCTCTAATCCAAACAGAACTATATATATATATATATATATATATATATATATATATATATATATATATATATTGGAAAGTACTTGAAGGGGAACCAAACGCTGTTGCAACATGGTACCAGCATAGCTGGAATCACGCAATTACGACGCTAAAGACAGGGTGGTCAAATATCGTTGAATTCATTCGGAACAAATTGCACAACACTTATACGACATACCGCTATAACATTACAACGTTGACTAAGTGGGATACGCAACTCGCCCTCCGATTTATGAAGTCCGGCGGCCCGTACTTTGCTATTATACTTGTGGGCACGTGTGTAACATTCTACTCTTGAATAAGTAGGCATTCGATATCTTCGACAAAAATTGAAAAAGCACCTAGTTTCCGTCGCTAATGCTTACAACGACCGCGGATTGCACGACAAGTGACGTGCCTCTAACGGTGCCCAGATTAGCTGCTAGAGTAAATTATACATAACATTCCACTGAATTTCAAGAAATAAAACAGTAGACATTAAAAAATATAAAACAAAGTACGCAAATAAGGCTCGTCACGAACCCAAATGATTGAGGTGTGTGAATTCTGATACATGGGCAAGTTAACATGCGCCCGGGTGGACGGTTGGATACCCTTCGCTCGGAAGGTTTGGGGTTCCTTGGTCATGACCTTGGGGTCAAGTAAGGTCAAAAAGGTCAAATTCCAGGTTGGTCTCCAAAAGGTCCTTAGAACCTAGATAACTGTTCTAAGCAAAAGGTCAGATGCTCATCTAAGGCCAGCGACCTTTCTGACCTTTTGAAGGTCATGGTGACCAAAATCATACAAGACTGCTTAAGTTTTGCATTTGAATAAGCAAAAAATATTACGCTAGGCAGTATGTTCCTAAAAACAAAATGTTAGTCTGGGTCATTCTATGCCAGTGATCTATTCTGACCTATAAGAAGTCTATAGAAGGTGTATTATGCGGTTCCTGCTAATAAGGATTCAAAAAATTCGAAATGAGCACCAAGAACTACCCCATACAGCAGGCGCTAGAGTAGTAAGACAGGTTGGTTTTGACCTCGGTCTGACCTTTATACCTGACCCTAGGTCAATGCAATTTGTTCATTCAATCGTTGTATTGCCTTAGACAGTAACTCAGAGTTGTATGGCTTCGTCTAACACTCCGTTTTTGATCAGATTTAACGATTCCCTAGAAATTGCCTTCGCTGAAACCGTGGCCTCAATTTGACCTGCCATAGGTCAGCGACCTTACAAGGTACATCTGAATTTTCGATCCCAGACGATCCGAGACTCAAATGTCTATAACTATGCAGAATTTGGTGCGGCTACGCTGCGCCGTTCGGAAACCATTCCGAAAAACCTTCGGGGGTCAATTTGATCCCCCACCCGAGCGCGTGTCAAGGCCAATGTCATGTCTGACCAAGTCTTCAAAACCACATGAAGAAAAGTTAGTCCACAAAGCATGACGCATGGTATCGTGGCTATACAAAACGACCGTAACTGAAGGGCTTCCCAAAGACGAAGGACGTATAAATGTCTCCGTCGTACGTAACGACCATACAGATAGGTGCGTGCCTCCCAAGGTCGATCCACAGGAAATCAATGGGCAACACTGATATGACCTCACATTAGCCCTTTGAAGCAAGTGGTGGAACACTTTGTTTTGTAAGCTTTCCTCTTTGAACATGTGCAAGCCTCGCAGATCCGGCAAAAACATACTTTGACTTCATTTTACCTAACCTTGCAGGTTAAACATCAGGGACACAGCAGAAAGGCAAACATTTAAGTTTTAAATGTGGAAGATGGCCATAATGACGAGGCCAGTGAGGGTCATTGCTGGTCTCAAATGCAGCTTACAAATACAACCTAGGCCTGAGATTGGGCTGTGACAACCACTGGTATGCAGCCAGTTCACTACAAACAATGACCAACCAAAACAGGCAATACTTGAAGGGGCATCAGTGCTCTGATAACTGTCACTGAAAGTTCAAGTTACTTGACATTGATCAATTTTGTCACCTTAAACAGCAACCCAATTTTGAACAAATATGACTTCTGAACTAACAACAAAGACACACAAACAAAAAACACTGCATACATTAACCTCTTAATTTTTTAAACAATAGATGGCCATCATCCTGCACTGAAAGCACTGGTTTCCATTAGTCCCTACTGATAGATGGTCATACTTATGTTTAGTAACAGCTCCATGATATTACTAGTTTGCACACCATCACCTTCCCCTAACAGTATGCACAGGGAATATAAATTATTGGCCCTGTGTGACCATCAATTACTAGAGCGAATGAAGCCTTAGGAACATCAGGTGGACTGCATAATTTAGCATTACAGTGAACTTTCTAAGAAGATATGGAAGTGTGATATGCAAGAAAGACTTTAGTGAAATAGGAGCCATGGGCCACAGTGGCATGATCTTGACACTTTTCTAGACAGCTAAAAGGAATGTTCCAAAACTGAAGATGTTGAAGCAAGCATCTGACATGATGAAGTAGTCTCATTGATATGTACCTGTGATATTGATTTATAAGTAGTTGTGATAAAACTATTTGTGATATATTACAATGTGACACTATATATTTGGGGTATACTGAAGTGGAAAAAACTGCTTGAGACAACACAATTCATCTGTTTGTATGTTTTCTATATATATGCTCTTCACTGTCAGTTTTTAATAACATCATTGCACCCTGCAAAACATTTATTGAGAGCCTATTGACAGCCATTACATCTGGATATAATGCATATAAATACCAGATATGAACAACTCTACAGTCATAACCAATTGGCCTTGATCACCACATGGCTAATCAAATGAAAAGATTTGAATGGCATTACAATGGCATGGATGCTTTGGCAACATTGACCAAAATGGTCCCACCAAAACATTCTGAACATATTTGTGGCATGTAGTAAAAACAGGAGTTTTGGTCTTAAAAAGGGGAGGGCTGTGAATTGCACTGAGTGATCTTCCAGATGGCCATAGCAGCTCAAAACAAATGCTTATCCTGATAACAATCAGGTCATTCATGAAGTGTTGGAGGTCTCACTCATATCAATGGGACCTTCAAAGGAGGTTGACCAGCTTCATTGGTTTAGGACAAGAACAAGGTTTGGCTCACAAAAGTGTGAGGTTTTATTGCCTATTACTTAAGAACCCAGAGATTGCCACTTATTCAATTCCTGCATTCATGAGACGTTCAGGACTCTATGCCCCACAGCACTGTAATAATGCTGACACCATAACTGTGTACAAGCAATCCTTATGGATCATGTTAAACTCAAACTGTGCAGCAATATTGTCATACTGAGATCAAGCACGTAACAAAGATGATATGTTTCAGCAGATAAATGATATCCAATCTTTCTGTCCATTACTCTGAAAACTATATTTTGTGGTAGAGTTCCTGTCCTGTAAAACTGAAAGCAGTCTGTCACTCTTGTTTAAACAATTTTGAGAAAATTGTCCAACATAAATTATTTTGATACATCCATCCCAGTACCTTAGCCATCAGACCACCCATCCTCCAATCCACCCACCAGTGGTAGCATTGGTTTCAGTCGCTTCATACTCTCGCTTTTGCTCTTGACTGAGATGGACTGTGGCTGGTGGCTGTGGTTAATCTCTACAAAAAATATCAATCAAGTTTAAAAATGCAACACAATTCAAAAATTGCCAGCCATGTCATTAATACCAAAAATGTATAGGTAACATAATATCATCAATGAGTTCCACTCCCATACATTTTATGACAGGTTTGGACCACTGGGAAATTGTGACAAACAGGCTGACACTGTTGGCATTCTTTGCTTGTTGCATTTTACAGCTGGGAAATTCTCAGCACTTTTTGCATCATTATTGCTAATTTGATGGTTCTATCCCCAATTTTCAATTCTCAGTCCCAAAAATTACACAAGAGTATGCAAAAATATCTAATGAGTTTCGGTTTGACTGCAAGCCCACGTGAAAGGGTTTCTAAGATTTCCAACAAAAATTATTGTGCATAACATGATTCTCAAAACAAAAATGTTGAATTGCAGCCAAATTGTCCCTGGATCTTTTTCTAACATCATCCAAACAAATTCATGATTTATTATACAACACACAGCTTCAAATAGTTTTGTGATTTCAAGTACAACCTAAAGAAAAAATAAAATATGCATTTGGTACATACATTGGCCTCATGCAGTGTCCATGCATCCTGTTACTACACACAGAGGAGAGCATGGACACTAGCAAAACTTCTCCAAAATTGTCACTTGGGCCCATTTATTCAGATGCCTACCAGTGATAAAAAGGAGCATCTGTTGTCTGCACCCAAATGACCACCAGCTGTGCTTGCACCCTGCCAGTGGGTAGCTGTCAGGAATGACAGGTACCTGATGCCCTCAATGAAAAACTTACCTTGACAAAGGTCTCCACAGCTCCCTTTGCTACATCCAGCAGGGTTGGGTGACCACCAGAGAAGGCTTGCTGATTCATTGATGCAGATGTATCAATGAGGAAAACTATAATTGTCATTGTCTTGAAATTATATGACTCTTGCTACATATTATGTTGATATGTTGAAGGCTCAAACTGAAGTAGGGTGGGTAAAATCGGTGGTGCAAGCAATACCTAGGATGATGCTCTTAAAACTTTGACATCAATAAGTACTTAGTAAGCTTATGCATGACACAAGGCAAGGGCTTTTAGTGAGAGAACAACCAACAGAAAACTGAACATCCAGGCACCACATTCCGGCGGGGCGTCGCACTGTCAAACCTCCACACCGGCCCACAAACCAACCGCAGCCCAGCCGACAGTTCGTCCCAGTCCGGCCACGGAAACCTCCACGAAAACTGTGCCAGAACTGCGGCAAAACCGCAGCGCCAGTGGCAATTCGAAGTCGAATTGTAACCAACAAAACCGTGCTCTCCGCAAAGATAGATCACTCAGATGGACTGCTATAGTGGTCAAAAGTTCTAATCTAGTGGATAAGACACATTTAGAACGTTTGTGAGACCTATTACAGGCAGAAAATTGACGATCTCCGGGACAGGTCCACCGTGCCGCCCCGACGACTTGTCGACATTAACGGCGCTGTTGCCGAACTTGACGAACAGAAGACACGATGTTACCAAAATGGGAAACGCCATTCAGGTTTTATGAAGCGTTTCATTTCGGTGCCAGAAACGAATGGTAGACGGCCACAAACATAAGCGTAAGAACGGGGGATCGAAAAAGCAGGCATGACACCCTCACTTTTGAGAGTGAGATTGCCAATGATGGCGAGTGACAGCCTCATTTTTGGGAACCTTTGAATTATTTTTGAAAACATTGTTATTTGACGCATTGTACACAGCTAAATTTACGCGAAACATCATAATAAATGGGAATACATTAGGAAACAGAATGCTGGCTCTGAAAGTGGAGCTTCACTTGCCGTAGAAGAGCGGCAAAAAGCTTCATGCAACTTCATTTGGGAAGGCATGACGTTTTGAAAAATCGTTTTACTGCGGATGGATGGATACAGCGAGCAGGTTTTTTAGAGAGCTTTCTTGCGTCATATAAACTAGCGACATGGTCTGTTTTTAGCCTTTCTATGGACGTCATTCTTTCCCGCAGAATGATATGAAGTCATCGGCGCTGTCGGAGACGGTGGACAACCGCAGCTCAGACAGCGGCGCACCGGAATGTAAAAGGAGCTTTTCAATAACACTACGTACAAGACTGAGTAAACTGAGCAGATTTAAAAGGGAATTTTGGTGCTACTATGCTATCATTTCCAGATGAAACCAAGCCATTACCTCATGTTATGAAATGAATCCGACGCGAGACATTGCTATTACGAATGCAATTATTGATCGTTCCGGACCGTCTGACATTTATTCTGGCATTTATACGATGTTCTGAACATTTTATTCTCCATCCGTCATCGGATCTTATTATGCACTTGGAAGGACTAGGTGGTGCTTGGCTTTCAGTAACGCAAGTGCACATGTGTGTGATAGCCCAGTAAGCTCAATGGTGTGACAATGAATTCGTAATAAGACGATCCCAGTTCGATCCTATAAATATAGAGTCCTATAACTTCCGAGCAGAGCAATTTAGGTTGTGATGTGTACATGTGTACTGGAAGACCAGTAGCAGATCCAGATGGGGGGGGGGGGACGGGGCCATCCCTCCCGGACCCGAGTGATCCCAAAGGCTCCGAAAGGGCTCACAGCCGGCCGAACAGACATAATTTTTACACAAAACACAACAAAATTGGACGTATTTGGGCCTCCAGGTGACCAAGAAGAAACGCAAGCAATAGTGAAAGGCCCACGAGCAGACAAAAATAAGATTTCGCTGATTTATATAGTAATGATTGGGAAATCTTAAGGCTCATTATGCTTTCCAGAGGCTCTGCACTGTTGCCGGGGGCCTATATGTCCACTTGCAGGGGCAATCCGATTGCTAAGGAGCCTTCCACGTTGCCTTTGATTTATTGACGTTTGCTCGGAGGGCTCCTACCCTGCCGTCAGAGCTCTATCCACTTGCATGCTGGGGTATCCTTGTCCAGCAGGGAACCTCCACAGATTCTTCTCAGTTGCCAGAAAGGCTCTATACGCTGTAGCCCGGGTTAAAGACCCTTTGGGCTCGAGAGGCTCTATGCACTATATTTCAACCTGCCGGGGTGCTCTCGGTTGCTCAGGGGTCCTTCACATTGGTAGCGGTTAAACATCGACGCACTCGCGATATGTTCATGGGCCCTGTAGGTTGGTCTAAGGCTCATCGCTCATCGCTCATTGTTCATAGCTCTGCCAGTGACCCATTTCCGTTCACTGGCAGAGGCCGTACGCTCTTGTCGGAGGCCCATCTGCTGCACTGCTTGGGCACCCTAGACCATTCGGGGGCCTTCCACATGGTGTCTTGGGCACTTCTCATTTGCTTGGAGTACGCTACGAACTCGTCGGGAGCCCCATCTTCTAACCTGCTCGGGTGCATTCGATGGTTCGGGGGCTCTCCACATTGGGTGTTCTATATTGCCTGTTTACTTGGGTGGCCCTACGCTCTTGTCGGGAGCCCTAGTTGTTAAACGGCCAGGACTAGTGGCGGATTCAGAGAGGGGAGAACGGGGTCATCCCCTTTAGGCCCCGAAGAGGCCCATAGGCTCTGAAAGGGTCCATTCCCGTCTGAACAGGCACAGTTCCTAACAAGAGTCATAACAGAATAGGACGCCTTTGGGCCCCAAAGCGACTAAAAACAATCGCAATCAAAAGTGAAGGGCCCGTCAGCAGACAAAGATAACTTTTCACTGATTTCAGAGGCGAAAATTTTGAGGCTCATGACGCTATCCTACGCTGTTACCAGTGTCCCTACATCTCCACTAACTGGGTCAATGGGGTCATAATAATATACAATAATAATAACGAGCCTACCACGTTACCCTTGGTCTCTTTACATGCTTTCTTAGGGCCCTTCGCTGCCGTGGGGGCATTATCTGCTACCACATCGGGGCAGTCTAAATTGACCAGGATACCTCCGCGGATTCTTCCCATTCGCCCGAAATGCTCTATACGCTGTTGTTGGGATCCCCATACGTTAACCTGCCGGGGTTCTCTCGGCTGCTCAGGAACCTTTCACATTCGTCTCGGGGCTTTGCCAATAGCTCGGAAGGTGCTGTGCTGTTGCTGGGCCCATATAAGTTAACGGACCAAGATACTCAGTGCTCAGGGGGCCCTGCGCTCCGGTCGGGGCCTTACATGTTAACCTGTCGGGGCACTTCCGATCGTTCAGAAACCCACCACATTGATCGCAGGTTCTTCTTGCTTGCTCTGAGCCCCCTACACTGTTTATGTGAGCCTCTTTGCTGCCCCGCCGCGGCGACCTCGATCGCTCAAGTGCTGTCCATTCTGTTTTTTTCCTTTTTCGGAGGGCCGGCACCGCTGACGGGACCCAAATAGCCGGAACACTTTCCATCGCCCCGGGGCTCTCTACAATTCTACATTGATCGTTGGCTGTTGCGATGAAATCAGAAGGACCCTTCTATGCGGCCAAAGGCCCAACATGTGCTTGCGAGCGCTAGGGCATACTGCCTGCTCGTGTCTACAGGCCTGGCTCAGTTACCTGGAGAAAACGAAAAATGACCTGGAGAAAATAGACGTGTTCTATGCGCGTACAAATAAAACACACCTAGTTTTGTAGGGCTGCGCACAGGAACATGGAACACTATACAATAAACATGCACACAAATATTGCAATTTATTGGCCGGCATACAAGAGCTTTTGGAGGGGCGCTGACATCCGTGGGTTGGTGCCAAGTAGACCAGCTTGCACGAGAGAGGGACCTCCATAAGGTGTGTAAACCTCTCCATAACCAGCTCAGCCCGCTGACGGTTCGTCGCATGTTTGTCCCTCGATCCGCGGTGTCTCGCTGGGTCATCCGTTCATTCGAGGCCGGAGCTCTGGAGCCGCCGAGGCGCTAATTTTTTGATCACACAGAGGGGGCTTCGTTACCGTGATGCCGCCTCGTGGAACCAGCTGCCTCCGGCCGGCAGTGAGCGTCCGACACTGTTCGCGTTTCGTGCGTTGTTGGCGGCACTGGGGGCCCGAGAGCCGCTCGCTCTTTTCCTGACTGCATTTGCTTTTGGGAAATTCTACTGATAAGCAATTTTCACTCTTTATGCGTATAGGTGTCTGTGGATTGCTCTCACGATTATCACCGCGATTGCATTTTCGGAGCATTCTTTTATCTTGATCTTCTGTTTTGTATCTTGTACATGATGACGCTGAAAAGTCATACTGCATGGATGGTTTAAGATTCGACACAATACAGTGTCCGCCCGTCGCAACGTCATGAAAGGGATCACAAGGATATTATGTATGTTGTTCACCGACGACCGGGTCACGTTGTGGGGAGATAGTGCTCCCGCAGTGCTATGTGCACACAGCCACACCCACCATGCCAGGAATAAGTAGGCTTAATTAACCGTGAATATGCTCCTGAACACGCCATGGTTTGATTACGTCATTGCACCTTACACAACATCAAATGAAAGCCAATTGACAACCTTTTTGCCTGGAGATCGTGCTCACAAACACCAGATATGAACGCCTCGACAATTATATTTTGCTTGGCCTTGAATGACGCATAGCCAATGGAATGACGGTATATATTTGAATGAGGTTATTATACGACCAAGAACAGCTGCAAGCGAAAGTGAAGGGCCCATGAGTAGAACAAGTCTTTCGACTGACTGAGAGGCCGGTGATTGAGACTTATTTCGGCTCATTACGCCGTCCAGAGGTCCTTTGCTGTTCCTGGAGGACGTATATGCCCACTTGCATAGTGAATCCGGTCGTCAAAAAGCCTTCCACGTGACACTTGATTTTCTTTTTACATTTGCTCGGACGGCCCTGCGCTGTTGCTGGGCCCTTCCTGTTAGCGTGCCGGGGCGCTCTTGTCAATCAGGGGCGCTCCGCATACTCTTCCCATTCGCCGGAAGGGCTCTGCACACTGTAAGCGGGGCCCCACAAGTTAATCTGGCCGGGTTTCCTCGTTTGCTGAGGGGCAATTCACGCTGGTCTCGATTAACCTACCAACATGCTCGCGATATGCTCATGGACCCTCTGCATTGATTTAGACCCCTTCCAATTCTCTGTCACTTGCTTAGAGCCCTACGCTCATGTCGGGGCCCATCTATTGACCTACTCGGACATAATGGATTGTTTGGGGCCCCGCACATTGGGTAATTGAATGTCGGTCCTATGCTCCTGTCATGTATCATCTGATAAGTAGGCACGTCTGATTTGACTGGGGGGGGGGGGGGAGGGGGCCTAAGCTTTTGCCTATCTGTGAACCTGCCCAAACCTGTTAATCTGTTAATTGTTCGGGGCCCTTCACATTGGGTCTTGGTGTTTCAACTTAGGGTCCTACGCTCCTATCAGGGGCTATCTTACAACCTGCTCGGATACACTCCATCTTTCGGGGCCCTCCACACTGGGTTTTGGATACTTCTTATTTCAATAAAGGGCCTTACGCTCTTGTCGGGTCCCTTCTGATAAGTTTCTCGGGCACATTCGATCGTTCGTGGGCCATTTGCATTGGGTCTTGGGTGCTTTCGATTTGAAAGGAGGGCCATACGATATTGTCAGAGACCCTATCTGTCAACCTGCTCGCGTGCACTCGATCGTTCTGGGCGACTCCACATTGTGTCATGGGCATTTCTCATTCAAATGGAGGGCTCTTCTCGGGGCCCCACCTGTTAACGTGATCGAGCATACTCGATCCTTCCCGGGCCCTCATATTGTGTCTTGGGCAGTCCTCATTTGAATGGATGGCTTTGCGCTCTTGGCGGGGCCCCATCCGTACTAAGCTCGCGCCGTTGGCGGATGCAGAGGGGGTGGAGGGCAAGAGACTATGCCCCCTTTGTGGCCCAAGGGGACCCATGTGCTTCGAAGGGGCCCATAACTGGCCGAATGAAAGCGGCTTTCTAACACCAAACATGACAGAACTGGACGTTTTTGGGCCTGCAGACGACCAAGACCAGTTGCAAGCAAAAGTGAAGAGTCCATAAACAGACAAAGCTGACTCCTCGCTTTGAAAAAGGTGCTGAATGGGAAGCTTTTCGGGCTCATTGCGCTCTCCAGAGGCCTTGCGCTGTTGCTCGAGCCCTATATGTCAACATGCAAGGTCAATCTGATGGCCAATGAACCTTCCGCGTTGCCCTTGTTCTCTTTGCATCTTGTCGTAGGGTCCTGCGGTGGCGTTCGGATACTATCTGCTAACATGCCTGGGCACTCTTGATCGATCAGGTGCCTGTCAGATGGCTAGCCGTGAATATACCAGGAATTGATTTCGTCCTTGATATTGGTTGTATGGTATTTAGCACCCAACTTCCTTAGTTAGCCTGTTCTTCCGAAATGATTGGCCTTTAAAAGACAGGGCTAACCATGATCTGGAGAAAATGCATACGCTCCATGCATGCGTGGTACGCCCAGCATTGTAGAGGTGCGCACAGCTGGAGGGGTTCCCGTATTTACTGTTTATAATAAATAAACATATAAGCACACCCATCTATATATATATATATATATATTATATATATATCTATATATATAATTGGGCCCGAGGGACCCCATATATATATATATATATATATATATATATATATATATATATATATATATATCTGTGTTGTGTGTGTGTGTGTGTGTGTGTGTGTGTGTGGTGTGTGGGTGTGTGTGTGTGTGTGTGTGTGGTGTGTGTGTGTGGTGTGTGTGTGTGTGTGTGTGGTTGTGTGTGTGTGTGTGTGGTGTGGTGTGTGTGTGTGTGTGTGTGTGGTGTGTGTGTGTGGTTGTGTGTGTGTGTGTGTGTGTGGTGTGTGGTGTGTTTTTGTGTGTGTGTGGGGGGTGTGTGTGTGTGTGTGTGTGTGTGTGTGTGTGTGGTGTGTGTGGGTGTGTGTGTGTGTGTGTGTGTGGTGTGGTGTGTGGTGTGTGTGTGTGTGTGTGTGTGTGTGTGTGTGTGTGTGTATGAGTGTGTGTGCATATTTACCTCGCTTTTTCCAACGTACGAGTGCTCTGCAATATTTGGAGCACACTAAGTCGTCAAAATGTTTGCGTAATAAATGTTAGGAAAGCTTCGAATACCCTCTTCTGACAAAAGTATAAAGGAATATGACGCTTTAACCCCGCAGATTCAACAAAACCTTATACTATGACTATCATTTCTCCCTTGCCTTTTATATGCCGCTTACCACAGTGACCCTTTTCGAGGTACACTTGGCTTTGGGAATGGGAGCATCAGATGGCCAATAGCGACGCACTGGTTCAAACTTCCACCAATGCGCTTCCGGTAACAGGTCCTTACCGCCCGCTGGGTCAACACAAACGTTCTTTTATTCGCACTAGCAGTTGCTACGGCGGTTGTCATGACGACGGTGGTCGCGACCGCAGGGAGGAAGCGCAGTAATGTTACAAAGCAATGACAGCGAAATTTGGACTAGAAAATAATTAAAATTGATGTTCTTGTTATGTCTTAACGGCGCTGCAGTGGCACCACCCAAAGCTATTACTACATGTAACTGGTCCTTTGGTTTCATTAGAGCATGTTTTTGAAACATGCACCAAAAGTGGGGCACTCCCTTTGCAGGGAATATCCCACATTTTTGATATATCTTACATATCCACATATCCCGCACTTTTAACTTATTGTTACATTGGGCACGTAGAAGCTGATCAATAATACCAGTTCTCTCGAAATCGTTCTCAATAGCTCATGATTTCGATTAGCCGGAACTTAACTGAAAAGCCTTGCCTACTTGCGGGAGAACCATCATTTGACTACATGCTCACCAATATGAAAGAAACTCATTTTACTCGTCTTGCTTTTTCAACGTGTGTTCCGTAATGTTTGCAACACACTTATGTGTTAGAATGTTTGTGCAATGAATGTAACAGAAGCTTGGGACGCTCTGCTTCGCCACAAATATATGCGAGCTTGAAGCTATTATCCCGCGAATCAACGCAACGTTATGCTGTGGGTTCGATTTCTCCCCTATGGCGTTTACAAGTGTCTCTTTTCGGGGCGCAATTCGGCTTTCAGAATGGGAGTATCACATAATTCCTGTGACGCGCGGGTTATTCGAACTTCAACCAATGCTCTTCTCGGTAACAGACGCTTACCCACTAAGCCAATCGCACACGTTCTTTCATTCGCATCAGTAGAGGTGCGCGGTGACGACTCGTCCACATCTGACGCCCGTGAGCATGATTTCCACGTATAACGACCGTCAATTGTCCCTCAGTGTTGTGCGAGGTGTGATGACGTAATCAAACAATGACGCAATGAGGAGCACATCTATTAAAAAGAGAAATTGTATCGCCTACAGTGGCCTTTTCCACTGAAAAGTGTACTTATACTGTAGGTGAGCTATTTCGTCACATCTCTTGTTTCCTTCGATGTTTTCAAGTATGGAACATTTCCTTCACTCCTTTTTCCCCTTCCGTAGCCATATTCCTGCCCCTTATACGTGTAGGGCTAGTTTAATGCAACACACAATGTCCATCTTTAGCCATGCACACTGTGGGCATGGCTGTTTCCGACGTAGCGGTGTAAGATACATGTGCTTGAAACTCTTCCAAAACAATAACATTTGTACGCCAGAAAGATCTGTCAGCAACCGATTCCCAACTTGTGTTTCCGAAAAACGCCAGCTGGTCGAGGGTAAAGGTGAAGTCAGCTGGCGGAAGAAACTGCGAGCTATCTCAATTTAAAAACGATTTATTTCACTGATCATCTTAATTTGCTGTGTACGTTTGTTTACTCGATAATTTTATTCTAGAATACTCCTTGAGTCTATTTTATGGTAGTTGTTCTCAAAAAAGTTACTAACAAGCACCAGCTGACCAAGGTTATCCAATAACATCTGTGTTATCCTCTGCTCTTCTCTGCCCTCTGTTTTCATTTACCCACTTAGGTCGCTGAAATCACCGATGTCGCATGAGCACACGCGGGACGGGGGCGCGAGGCCTTTGAATTCCGATTAGCTGAGCTGCGCGGGTCTCCGTATGGGATCGCCCGGTGTTCGTGAGATTTAAAGCCAAACTCGGGAAGGTGTGTAAGGCATGTGTTTTTGATTTACAGCTCGCTAATCACGGTTTAATTGCGACCGAAAGCTTTCCGCTTGGCATGGGTCAAAAGTATTCAGAATACTTGCAACTCCTGCAATTGCTCCACATTTAGGTGCTAATGTATCTGAAACATGAGTAACATGGACTTGCATATTTCGCGTTGGTTCCTGTTGTTTGTCAGAGGTGAATATCAACAACCTCTCCAGGAGAACAAGCAGACCTGGTGGCCTGCCACTGCCCTAATCCAAGTATATTAATTTTGCCTGCCTTCAGAAGTTCTCTTACTTTGGTATGACATGAGAAATATAATTAGAGTAAAGCTCCTGGCCTGGTGAGGTTTCAGTCTTTCTAATTGGGGACCTATTTTGGGCTAACAGGGCTTCCCACACCTTTCTTGGGCATCCTGTGCACCTGTGGGACACTCCTTAGATAATCTTGGACCTCCAATCAAGCATAAGAGCTTGAGGTTTGGTGTTTATTCATTAATTATTCATCTTCCATCAAACATTAGGGCCTGAGGCTGGCTATGTATGGCCTCCAATGACCCATGGTGCTGATATTGTGTATGTGCCTTAATACATGTGCCTATATGTGCCTTATGAGAGTTAGTATAGATTTTTAACCAGGTTCAGTGGCCATGATGAAAACCATTTTGATTTGGCACCCTAGTATCTGTATTGTAATAAGCTATGACTGGTCATCACAACTTAAGTCAGTATAATATGCTATTGGAATCATTGCAATCCAGCTTGGTTTGGGCACAGACTGGTGTACCCCTCAAAGCATAATCATTACTACACCTCTTAGGCTCCAATAATTATCATGTTCCCATGGCTCTCAGGTACCCTTAGAATGAGACATGGTGTATGCCTGGAATGAGGATTGTAAAGGACATACAAAGGAGATCAGATGGTCTATAGGATAGCCTGTGTCTGTTGATACACAATTTGACATAACTCTCAGATCATACTATGCTTTTGAACTATAAGGCATACTTAGTGTTCAATTGAATTAAAATGCCCTCATTTCAATGGTTATACATGCAATAGTTATTACCAAAGGTATATTTTGATTGTTTGGTGACATGGAGCATGTTGCTGGCACCAGACCCTCTGGTTCATCAGGAGGCATACTCATAAAGGATTCAAAATACATCTGCAGAGCCCACATTAAGCAGCACTTGTTGCTTTAGCCCTGACCCGTACCATCTGATTGCACCATTCCGGGTCAATGGCAGAATTTGGTGGCGAAAGTTTGCTATGCTGCAATGCGTCTGTCCTGCCCTCTAACATCATCTGACCTTTATTGTGGCCGCTGCCACCCCCTGCAGGCCATGCCTGTCAGGGGCAAATAGGCAGAGCCTGATAAGGTCAAGCCCATCCCATCACAGGGTGTGGATTGGGAGGCAGGCGCTCTAACCAACTGAGTCATCAGAATGGACAAACCATCATGTTTATAATTGTTGTAAGGAGGTTAGCTGGATAGCCCAATGAAATAATTTGGTACATATATTTTTTAAACCACTTTTCCCTCAACATGTCTCTTGAATTGGTACTTCTGTGGTCCTTGTAGCCTTAGCTTCCTCAGGCTGTTGGTTTCATTTCCTTATAATTTGTTGGAATCATATTGCTCTGTGAAGAATCAGTTGTGGAATTGAAGGGTTTCAGAGAGTTTCCATGGTATGGGTCAGTGCAGAGTTTGAACATCTGAAATAGGTCAACTATTAGTTTTTGTTTGTTTATTTATTTGATTATTTTTGCAGTTCTGCCATTACTGCAGTATGTCTCTTGCTTCCATCATTGCTGCCTGAGAGGAATCAACCTATCTTGAACAAAAATCTCTCCACACCCTTGACTCTTTTGGTTGAAATCCTCATCAGGCATTCAGGTCTGTCAGTCAAGCCCTTTTTGAAAAATAAAAATGCATAAGGGTAGTGCTCTGGCAATACTCTGTGTGATGTATCTTGAACAGTAGGTAGGGTAAACATCTTGGTTGTCAATCCTTGAAGGGCTCATTTTGATTATTTCCCAGTCAGTACAGACCTTTTGTAAATGTTGGGAAACCACATAACAAAATACAAAGTACATTGGTGAACTACATGCCCTTTCTTGTTAGGCATGTTGCGCCCTGTGACATTTTGCTCACAGCCATCGTATTTTGCAGGGATGGGTCGCAAACGCAGCAGCCTGCGGTATCGTCCCTACAGTCGGAGGGCCTCCCTTCATTTGGCCGATCCGGAAATCATCGACGACGACGAGGCCGATGACTCTATACTGGTGGTCTTCGAGAAGGTGTGCTGCAAGGGGTCATCTCGGCCGCCTTTCTCCGCGCTGAAGGACGGTGGGCGAACAGGCGCCACGGTGGGGGAGTCGGCTTCGGCTCTGGGTACTACGCGGGTAGGAACAAGCGCCACGGTGGTGAAGTCGGCTTCGGCTGTGGGCACTACGCGGGTAGGAACTTCAGTAAGTTCGAATGCTGGTCTGCCAACCGAGAAGGCCGCGACGACTTCTAAGTCGAGTGAGGTGGTGAAGGAGACCTCTGGCATCGAAAAATCGGACGAAGCCATCACGCCTGCCTCTGATGTTGGTCCAAGTGAGGCGACCACAACGGTGCGGCCGGGCACGAGCGCTTCCCCCTCGAAGGGAGCTCGTGCCGGCGACGACAGCGTGTTCTCGGTCACCGCGTTGCCATCGCCATCCTCCAACTCCTTCTGGAGCAACACCCGCAGGGGTCCGACCACTTCGACGCCGGCGCCGCGCCGCCGCCACGACAGTGACGTCGTGGAGGTAACACCGCACGTGGTGACACTGGAGGACGGTGAGCTGGCTGACACGCCGCACGTGGTCACGCTGGAGGACGCGCCGACCGAGCTGGAGGTGACAGAGGTGCGGCGCGTGTACGCGCTCAGCACGCCGGCCGTGCGGCGCCGCGCCGCCGGCTTCTTCGAGGACATGACGCCGGCCGTGGCCAAGCCGGCGCCGGCGACGGCCGCCGACCTGAGCGCCGACTTCCTGCCGCTGGCGACGGCTCGCCCGACCTGCCAGGCAGCTGGCTCGCAGCCGCCGCCGAAGCCGACCTCGGCCGAGCGGCCCGCCCGCGGCCGCCCGCTGCGCCGCACCAGCTCCACCCAGCGGCGCCTGCAGGGTGTGCTGCGCGCGGCGCGGCGCACCCTGGCGCCACCGCTCAGCGCGCGTGCCCGGGAGAAGCGGCGCTCTCGACTGTCGTCGGCTGGCGTCACGCCCCGGCGGCGCGGGCGCTCGCCCAAACGGCCTCATCGCTCCCGCTGGTAAGCTGTCTCCGAGAAGCTGACTGTTCTCAGGGTTTGCCTGTGTCATTTCGGGTGTTGGAAACGTTATACTTTCTGCTTGTTGGATTCATCAGCGTTAATGTTCTTGTGTAGGGAACAGAGGTGGCGTCTATGTTCATGTGTTATTGCGCAAGGAGCAACATTACATATCAGAGGAGAACGTAGCTTGGACAAGTCAGTCGTTGCCCGGGACTTTGGCTAGTCATATATTTTCAAGTTTAAAAGGGATCGGAATCCCAAGAAGTCGTTACTGTTCGTAAGTAAGCCCGCAGGTCACGCGGAATTTTCGAACTGCAAGCGAGCGTCGCTTGTCGCTGCGTTGCACTGCGGTTGTCCCTGGGGATCTACAGGCCCAAACTCGCGCGCTGTCTGACGCGATGACTTAAACGTGTCTGGGTCTCGCCAGCTCAAGTCTGCTTGGAATAATGGGTGCGCTCGTTTTCTCAATCCCGTGCTGCTTTAAAACAGCTGTTTTACGGCCCAAAATCGTGATCAGTCTTACATCAGGGCTCATTCAGAGAACAGGCGACTATGCTTCAGATGAATGGTTCCCATCTTGGTCGCAGAGGCCGGACAGGCATCGTTGCGATGTGACTTAGCATTGGTGCGAAACTGGCGGGGGCCGGACTGAACACTTCACATGTACCGCGCATGCCATGCCTGTTCCCTTCTGAGACCTCACGCCGCGCTCCCCGGCTCTGCGCACGGTCGTCTCGTCACGCTCGCGTCCATGCCGTTTGCGCAGGGACCGGCACGCTTCTGCGAGAACCGCGTGCCCCGTCGGCCGAGCGACGGGGCGCGCCGGGCGTCCCCGCCGCCGACATCCAGTTCAACGCCGACTTCCGACGGACGTTCGCGCAGATGCTGGGCGAGCGGGCCAAGCGGCCGGTCATCATCGATGGGCCGAACGTGGCGTACGCGTGAGTGGGTCCGGTCAGCGACGGCAGCTGGGTGAGCCGCGGCGGGCTGACAGGTGCGTGGGCGGGAGGAGGGCGTGCGGCGCACGCGTGAGTGGGCCCGGGCCAGCGGCGGGCTGACAGGTACGTCGGCGGGAGAGAGGAGTGGCGCGCACGCGTGAGTGGGCCCGGGCCAGCGGCGGGCTGACAGGTACGTCGGCGGGAGGAGGGAGTGTGGCGTGCACGTGAGTGGGACCCAGGACCAGCGGTGGCGGCGTGGGACCCAGACCAGCGCTCCCGCCGTCTGCCGTGTGTGGGAACGCGCAGCTGAGTGTGGGACGTGACTGACCCGGCCGGCCCTTGCAGGCACGGTCGGAACCAGACGTGCTCAGTGAAGGGCCTTACCATCGCCTTGGACTACTTCAAGAGCCGGGGCCACCGCTGTGTGGTCTTCATGCCCAGCAACTTTCACCGTCGCATTCCCAGCTTGGCTGATCGACAGGTTAGGGCCCCCGGCACTGTTGGGCTGCTAGAGAGGCTGAAGGTGTAGGCTGGGTGGAGGCGTTGTCACGAAATCACGCCGTCCTTTGGGATCGCGGGCATTTCAAAGTGGAATGTTAAAGAGCCTCTTTTGATTTCAACCACTTAGACAGCAGTCGAAAAATCAAACTGGAACAGGTTGAAGGGAGTTGAGGTTCTTTGTTTTGATGTCTATAAGACCAGGATTTGTGCAGGTTTTTATTTCCCGCCTTGACAGTTGTGTCAAATGAAGTCTCGCGCTCCATTCTGGCACTTTTCTTCCACCAGTTCGACGAATAAGTTGTTAGCATCTGAAATAAAAAGGGTTATAATTACTGTTCACATATGCCAACATCATCATCAGATACCACCACTTGATGCAAATACCGGACGTCCTCAGTGCTGTTTTTTCCCACGAGGAAACGTAAAAGAGTGGAACCCATGGCTGCTTACTTAATTTGCGGTCTTCTAACATCATGACAGTTTTCCAATGATTTCTTAAAGTTGGTAAAATGTTTACTCTAAACGCACCCTTCTTTTCTGTCTCCATTACGCTTTGTGAGTGGAACGTGAAGGTTAAGGACGAAGAAGCTCATGCTTTCCGTGTCAATATCATGATTTGCATGTACACTTGATTTAGCTTTAGCCAATAGCCATGCCAATGCCACTGAAAAGCTCCATGGCACGCAGCAGTTCGAACGGATTTAGGGTACGGCAAAATAATTTATGAGTCAGTTGCGTGAAAAGCTGTTTTCATGTTCTCCTGACTCGTTTGATGTCTTCTTTACTTTGTGTTTTACGTTCCAAGAGCTCCGAAAGCTTGACTCATTGGCCTTAGGAAGACGCAGTAGCGCTCTATAAGGAGTGCCAATGGCCAGTTACCATTGGTAGTTATACTCAATATGTTTATATATATATATATATATATATATATATATATATATATATATACTATATCACACACAGGCTTATGACATTCGACACATTTCGCACCTATCGGGTATCACCGGGTAAAACAAGACTTGAACACTGGCTGAGGGCTTAACACGCACATCGCAAATAATACACCACAGAGGCGCATGCAAACTCACCTGACACTTCATAACTTGACATCGTGGTACCCAGTGCACATTGTAATGAATGGATTTGATAGGTGTGGGGATTGATGGTGTGGCGTTCCATGTCTGTCGACATCAGTGATATGCACATATATATATATATATATATATATATATATATATATATATATATATATGTATATATATATGTGTGTTGTGTGTAATAAAATAATGATATATATATAATATATATCATTTCAGTTATGGTTTCCCTCCTCTCGATCTCATTTCAACGTGGTGTTTTCATACCATGTATGAAGCAATATGTTTGCGAGCAATTAAATCTTCTTTCGGCTGTTCGATGGCAATCTTCAGTGTGTGTCTTTAGTGCCATTCCGTGCTCCGAATTACCAGCATCGCAGCTATTTTTGTCACTACGTATCGCGTAAGATCGGACGTCGCGATGATCCGTGCCAACAGCGATAGGACTTGATATCAGACACCTGAACAGTTTCGTGTGGCTTGCCCCGCCCGGTTCGGGTCATTGTAAGTTTGGATATTTAGATGTGAGTTGTCTTTGACAGCATGATACCCGCGTGGAATTGGAGCTAACATTGACTCCACTAGCGTCGGGGAAATTTTGAGGTTAGATTGAAGAAACATTCGCCCTTTTAACGGCTTGATTACCGACTGCTTCACAACCACGGTGTTTCATTCTGCAATCCACGCCATGTTGTAAGAATCGCCACACCCAATGTGCGTCCACTTGTAGCCGGCATTTACAGTGCAGTATCTAGGCGGCGGTGATTTACAGAGAATATCAAAGATGGGTAATGTGTACTGTCATCATTTCATGGCATTTAAAGGAAATGGATCCATTGGTCTGCGCATACATTTTCTGTGGCGTGACACCATTTGGTGCACATTGGTTTTGAATGGCCGAGTCATTTTCATTCCCACCGCTGGAGAGAGGAGAGGGGGGGGGGGTTGGGGGGGCGAAGTTGAAGGCACCGGCTCTAGTGTTTGGTCCCAAAGTTAGCTAGGGCTACCAAATTTTGCTAGCGAAAGCCACCGAAATCGTGCTAACGAGAGCCACCAGGCAGTTATGTAGCCTAGAACGGTACCTTGCCTTAACTTGGCACACAATTACGTGAATCAGATGCAATGATTTTTCATTGCTTTTTCCTGGGCAAATATAAGATGCAACATTTCATCATACCACTCGCCTCATCTGGCAACTAAGAGGCTACTGACGCAGCAAGGGTTATCCGTTTGCTCGTAACCATCGTTCCATACCGACCTTGGGTCTTATATCACCACTCATTGCTAATCTACTGCAAATACTTACAGGTAGGGTAAAATGGTTCCGCAAGCCTTTAGAGATGGGTCAGCTCAGGAGCCTGACATGGCGTATATGGGTATTTATGTCCGTTACAAAGCATGTGCAATAAAGGCTGCGTGAGCTAAGCCAAATTTTGTGACGTCGCATCCTACCGTTTTTCCTTGGCCTGAAATGCCGCTAGAGTATGACATTCAGTATGCAGGCTGAGGTTAAATTAGTTCAACTTACGATGCATAAAAATAAATGTGAGTTAACTGTTTGGCGTGGCGTGTCATTACACGCGATGCATCTTTAGATTCACCTAGATTCAAAATATCAGCCTCACCAACAACCAGTATGGCGCCTATGCGAGAACCGCCCTTTCTCAGGGCGACACCGGGCTGCCACGCCAACCGCCTTCTGGTAGTGCCAGCAAACTACCTCAGTGCCAAACACTGCGTTCTGATCACCAGTTTTTAATCTGATATGTTCGATTAATGGCTAAATTTTTGGTGCAAAAATAACTGGCGATGGTGCATTGTGACGAGCCATTTGCGTTTTTGTTTTCTGGTATTTCGGATGGCTTCGGTGTGGCGTGCGGGCCGGTGTTAGGATGGAGGTTCAGATGGAAAAGTGCGTATGCCTAAAGTACGGTATGGAAGGAAAAAGATGTTCTGGTTTTACCGCTCCCCTCCCCCCATATTATAAAAATATATAGATAGGCACACTGACAAATATATTAATGCAAAATCTTTATCAAACTATGGAAATTTGTGACATGCGTCGTTCCTACTGTGCCACCCCTCAGGCACTAGTTATGTTCTGCGTGCATAGCTTGCTGCATTTTTTTCGGAACATCCCCTACGGTTGTATGATCGCTATCGACATCCTGCACGATCTTTGGGATATATTTTGGTAGGTCCTCAGTAATGGCACATTTGTGATATCGACAGTGATGGCTTTTGCGATGCCCTCCTCCGTTCTTTGTTTGCCTCTTTCTTCCACTTCGTCCTTTTTAAGTTAAGTACAGACCCGTCTCTCAGACACTTACCTCACACTATCACAGGAGCAAGATTGTTCTCCGGCAAGGGACGTACAGGGTCCTGAAGCGAACTCGGATCTACTCTCCGTTGCGACAATGAATCTTGTTGGCCAAGGCAGTTGGATAGCTTCTGTATTTTACATCATGCTAAGCTGCGCGATGGTGTCAAGTTAACATGGGCCGCATTCACGGTTACTTGGACGCATCAACTAAAATGCCAAAGCACATACTATCGAACGAAACCAAAACATGCGCGCTGGTGTGCTGTTGGGTTCCGACATGCGCGAATCAAAATCAGAACATGTTTTCTTCCCACCCAGTACACACGCAATTGTTCGTGGGCAGTTGATTGTAATGTATCCAATTCTTGCGGCAGTAGTACGTACCGGCAGGCTTATTACGCAGGCGTTCGTACTCAACAGCTGGTGAGAAATGTGTGTATCGTATAAAGTAAGTATGCGAAATATTCGTGTTGACGAGAGCCGTTTGGACAATAGTCCGTCGGGACAAAAAGTCGCCTGAACAATGGTTGGCATGGACAAATTTTGTATGCACAAAGAACGTCGCCATTGTTGCTAACCAACTGTACGTGCGTACATATTCGTTACGGAAAGCGCTCGACAAAAATGGATGCATAAAAGCTCATAAGCGATTGCACAGTAATACATTTGTATAGATAGTATTTGTGTAATACAAGGCATATTGGCCACCCAAGCTTTACACCGTTAACTCTCAGATTTTGCTGAAATGCAGTTTTTGAGCGATTTGAGCGAAGGCATAAAATTCGACTGCGCTTTTTTAGCTCTATCCGGCACACCGTTTAAAATTGCTAGCTTCGGGCAGTGCTGGTCTGGTACCAGCAAGGTCCTTGTTAAAGCGAATGCAGCGAAGCGGATGTACCTTTTTCTTCGAACCCTGCGTTACTTTATAGGGGTTGAAGTTGTCAAGGTCACTTGCACGTCCGCGCCCCGTATTCCCTATGCCAGTTGGCTCCCGTCCGGGGTGTCAGCTAGCGTCAGTGGCGCGCTCAGTCAGGAGGGCTTAGGTGTGCAGCGACACAGGCGTCGTCAGGGTGGAGATAAAGGGGAGGCATAATAAATGCGACGGGTGAATAAAGGCGACGAATATGGTCTTTTAGCTGCCCCCTTCCATTCCAGGGTCATTTTGCACTACTAGTATTGATTCGGACTCATTTGGTGGACGCCGAAGGGCATGTGAGTCCATGCCATGAACAGTTTAACTGATCGTAATGCTTGGCCTGAATTATTTGCAGTGTTCTCTGTCCAGTGGGGGACCCCATCGCCGTTCCCCTCCCCCCCCCCCCACACCCGGATGACGGCATGTGGTGGGCCCCCTGTAGTAAGCATTCATCCTACGCCGGGCACCGAGAATGGAGGTCTGCATTTGAACTTGCAGTACACATCTGCGTACAATCATTGGCGTACGCACCTCATGGAACGAAATTTATATCCCAGGGACATGTGCTCACGAAGTTGGTGTTCTTGCATGATCCATCTGCAAATGAAGGCTTCCATATAGACTTTCGTGTAACCATTTTCGTTAAACAAATTTTATCCTGGCGGCTGTTTGCGTGTGACGAAATTTGTGTGCCTGTATCCTACGTCGGCATAGGGACATTGGCGTTCGCAATTTTGTCCTGCAGAGTGGCGACGATTGACGTGCGAACAATGTGAGAAAACGAACAATGACCTTTAGTCTCATGGTATGTACTAAAAATTTGTCAAGAGCAGGACAAACGTTTTCCCTTAACGACATCCCCAGTGCCAATTTGCTTCCAAAAACAAACAGCTCACAAACTGGTAAAATCTAAGCTATGTTTTTTTTTACGTCCAAGACAATGTCATCGGAAAACGTTTCGTCTCTGAGCAATGATTACCTACGCCACAGAAGCGGAACACGAATGATGATAGATGACATAAGTACGCGTGAGACGAATGACCTCGGGGAACAATATAGTATAAAAGGGTGGATTAGGATGGTGTGGGTGGTGCAAGCTACCACGACTGCGCACGTGTTAAGAACTTGGTGGCTATGCGAACTTTAGCGTGGACGAACTTTTACACAAAGACTTTACCATTACGAACTTCTTGACAACCTACGTACTTCATCGTGGCGACCTTTAGGCTCACCAGCTTTATCCCACGGACAATTGCCTTGCGAACTTTTTCTATAGTTCTGTTGTTCGCAAGCCGTGTATGACAGATGTGCGTTGGCGTATGCCTGCGTTGCGAATGCTTAGGTCCTGCTGGCGCTCTGCCTACGTTCTGCCTGCGTTGTGTCCCATCCACTTCTTGCGAGGCTGCGCTGCTGTTGTGAGCCCAGCCATCTACGTCGCTCTAGTAATCTATAAGAAGTCACCACCACCGATTATCCGGATGGGGTGGGGGCTGATGGCGGTGTTTACCGCACACCATGGCCCAATGTCTGGACGACGCGCGCGGCTGCCGGCAGCCCTCCGGCGCGCGGCCCGGTCCGAGCCGGGTCGATACCGGTGCCGGCGTGTTCCATGTGAATGTGCTGTGCCCTTCGCTCGTCAGCTGTTGGAGGAGATGTACCGCAGGGGCGATCTGTCGTACACGCCCAGCCGAATGATCCAAGGCAAGACGGTCACCTGTTACGACGACAGGTTAGTCGTCGGACCGGCTGCTCTGCTCCCGACACCGGCAGACCCGCATGCTGACGGTCCTACTGCAGAGCAGGCTTGCGGCTGATGTGTCGCCAATGCAGATCTACTGATATACATATATATATATATATATATATATATATATATATATATATATGGCGAAGTATCTTGACCGAATATTTTCCTTGCTGTATGTTTGAGTGAAACCTGTCGCTGATTCCGCATTAATAACCTGTTTAATGCATCGCTCTGGGTTCCCGGCTGTTTACTTTGTAGTATCGTAAGGTAAAACATTCCTAGTACTAAATCACCGATATAATCGTCGACGGCTGTAAAATCTAAGGTTTGAGACCTTATCTCATCGCTGGAGATCGTCGGAGAAATGTAGCAGGCACAAGTGATCAGTTTTGAATTATGAAGGGCGCAAGTTTTGCACCTTTATCTTGAGAACATCTTTAAGTATGAAAAAGACAAATATTTCCTTGGTTATTTAAATGCGTATAAAATACATCGGTATTGGAAGCGCTACAAATGCACATAGCCAGAATCATATGGGCGGTAACTCTCGCCCATCACCCAATGATTCAAGAGTCGCGCAAGAATTTGCTTGTTTGTTTAAGGCTGGGGAGAATTCCTTGATAAATATGTTTCCCAAAGTTGAAGACGTCTTCCGTCATTACATGTCTGGAGACTGTCATTGTCGTCCGTCAGTTGTTGTGTTCAGTTATTGTTGTCTGTCAATTTGTGTCATTTGCATTACAGACGCACAGTTTGCGTCCTGGAAGCTAAAAATTTACCGCTTGAGACACTTGTACTAGTTGTGTTTCTTTGACGATGAGATGAGTTCTCAAAACGTTAGGATATACAGATGTCGACAGATATCTGAGTGATTTTGTGCGAACGTTCTCTTACCTGAGCGATACCACGAAATAGAAAACCCATAATCTCGAACGATGTATCAAAAAGATTGTTAACACGGGAATCAGCGGTCGTTTTCAGTCAAGCATATAGAGAAACACTATATGTGTGCACATATGCACCTGTTCAGCAACATGTGTCTCTTCGTCCGATCGTCAGATGGCCAAAGGCATAAACAGGTACAGCTCTGATACGCAAACATATTGCGCCGTCAAATACAGTCGCACAAGTACAGAGGCAAGGAAGCGGTCGCTCAGAGCTGGCAACTGGCAGCAGCTGAAGGCTTGCTGGCCTTGAACCTTTATCAAGTCTTTATCAAGTCTTGACCTCAATACCCACGGCTCATAGTGCCTTATCTTACCCACGGCTGAAAGCCTGTCCTCAGCACATTAGGTGGCTGAGCTGTTAAGAGAGCACAAATCCTAGAATGCCCCCCCCCCCCCCGCCAACCCGCGCGTCAACGCCAATGCCAGTGCCAATGCGCCAGGCAATAGCGTCAGCAGGGGCACTCGGCCTGACAGCTCAGATCGTTTGCCGCAACGCCGCGGTGAGTCGCTGCGGCAGACGACGCTGGCCGGCCCATCGGAGCTGGTGCCTGTTACGCGTCACCTGCCGACAGGTACGTGGTGATGTACGCCACGAACGTGGGCGGCGTGATCCTGTCGCGGGACCTGTACCGGGACGTGGCCGAAGAGCGGCCCGACTGGCGGCACACCATCGAGAACAGGTGGGCGACCGGCACGGGCTGGCGGCTGGGGCTCCTACGGCGCGCGCGCGCGCGCGTGTGTGTGTGTGTGTGTGTGTGTGTGTGTGTGTGTGTGTGTGTGTGTGTGTGTGTGTGTGTGTGTGTGTGTGTGTGTGTGTGCGTGCGTGCGTGGTGGTGCGTTTATGTGTGTGTGTGTGTGTGTGTGTGTGTGGTGTGTGTGTGTGTGTGTGTGTGTGTGTGTGTGTGTGTGTGTGTGTGTGTGTGTGTGTGTGTGTGTGTGTGTGTGTGTGTGTGTGTGTGTGTGTGTGTGTGTGTGTGTGTGTGTGTGTGTGTGTGTGTGTGTGTGTGTGTGTGCGTGCGTGCGTGCGTGCGGCGTGCGTGCGCGCGTGTGTGTGGTGATCGGAGTCCATTCTTGGAAATAAGAATGGCACACGAGGAAATGCTCCGCGAGATGTCCCGCACTTTGGGTCCACCCGCCCTTCCCTAATAAAACAACCAGCATGAGCTTCGCCGAGCCATTCGTCTCTTATTCATATTACAAGCTGTCGCACGTAACGTCAGCGGCATCACACACACATTTCACGACAACGGATGACCATCAAAGCGCATTTTTAACACAGTCGAACGAAGCTGGGGCAAAACTCTCGGAGACGAAGCACTCAGGAACAGAAACACTCGGGGACGCAGCACGCAAAACATGACACAAGAACCGGCATGAAACAAACTAGACGGGATCTTTTCTGCTGTTTGTGGGTGGCGAACGTTGGAGGATAGAGCGGTTAGTGAGCAGCAGGGGTCTGTCGCGCAAAATAGCAGGAACAAGCAAGAGTCCTCAATTGGCATCTCGTTCGGTCTGATATGCGGGGCACAGCCTGCCCCCGCATACGGGACCTGGTCTATTCCATCAAGCGAGATGCATACATTCCCCAGCGAGGCGTATGCTGCGATAAAGCCTGCGTCACCAACCACGCAGTTGTCAACAAGTCGAAGTCAGTAAATCAAGTCAGCTGCACTCTACGCTCTGCCAGTTTTCTGTGGGAAATCCGCCTACGCCTGTGAAGGGAAACGATTCTGATAAGCTTCGCTCCGTCTTACAGATCAACATCCCTGTTTGGCTTCACTTGCACGCTCAACGTGGTTTTGTTGTGCCCCTTGGGACCTTAGCGCCATTATACTGGCACCTGAGACGTATGACCACCAGTCACTTGGCTTCATTAAAGGATGTTCGACGTCGTACGTCGCGTTCGCCTTTAAAAAGTGTTCCACAGTTGTATGAGGTTTTGAACTGAAATAGCCATCTTGAAGGTCATTGGTGCAGTTCGCAGCCCTGCGCTTAAGACCTAGACCCCTCTAGTTTCTGAGTTAGACACCCGCGAAGATGTACAGGCTATTTCGGGGCAGCCTATTTCAAGGTGAACCTGGCATCCATGACACCTTAAACAGTTTATTCAAATCCTGCCACCCCCATAAGCCAAGCAACGCTCTGGGCCGGGAAGAATGTAATCGACGAGTTGTTCATGCTTGACGTCGGTGAAAACGATTTCCAGATGCAGCAGACGTCAGTTGGCAACCATTCGTATTATTGTTGGGCAGGCTGTGCGAGTTTTCAATCATAAATCATGCCTTACATAATACAAGATGCTGGACACCTTTCAGTTCTTACGGAAATAAGACTTGTAATCGAATAAGTTAAAAATCGCGCCATAACCGAGTATGTACTAGTAAACACCTTTAACTCAGGGATAAATTTGCAAGAATGTCGGGAGAGAGTCGAAACACGAGCACAACGATATTTGGCTCACAGATAAGACAGTAGTAAAAGCTTTATTCCTCGGAGAAAAACCAGGAGAAGGGATATATAGATGCGTTGATATTTCGGCAACATACCTTTATCGAAACAACAGCAGAAGTGAATTACAAATACGAAACAATAGCAGAAGTCAGTTCACTTCTCCTATTGTTTCGATAAGGGCATGTTGCCGAAATATCAATTCATCTGTATCTCCATTCTTCTGATTTTCTCCAAGGAATAAGGCTATTTCTGCCGTCTTTTCTATATGAACAACGTTCCCCGCACATGCACTTAACAACTTGCGTTATTTGGTTCAGTCAACACCTTCGCACCTCCACGGCCACCTCTCGGGAGGCTTGAAGTACTAAAATGAGAGCTAGGGTGGAAATTTCTCACGGTTAGTTTAGCAGCATCTCAACGTCATACAAACGTTCCGTGGCGTGATCGAACAATGACGTATTAAAGAGCATATTTTCTATATAGAGAAATTGATGCTGTCTAGAACAGTCTTTCCCACTTACAGGCGTCCCAATAGTTATAACTGAGATTCTTACATCATGTCTGATGCTTCAGTTATGTAATGGTTCGGCTCGCAATTCTTTATAGCGGGTGATCACATGGAATGAAAAACGCCAGTACATGCCACCCGTGGTACGGTTTCTCGTTGTGATGATGGCCGCCGATCCGTGCTTGCGCATGCGCTATGGCTTTGAGCAGTGTCCGACCCGTCCTCAAGTTCGAGATCTCGGGCCGCGTGTGGCGCCATGGCTGACGATGTTCGGTCCGCTCCCCAGGTTGCTGCGAGATCTCGGGCCGTTTGTGGCGCCATGTCTGACGATGTTCGGTCCGCTCCCCAGGTTGCTGCGAGATCTCGGGCCGTGTGTGGCGCCATGGCTGACGATGTTCGGTCCGCTCCCCAGGTTGCTGCGAGATATCGGGCCGTGTGTGGCGCCATGGCTGACGATGTTCGGTCCGCTCCCCAGGTTGCTGCGAGATCTCGGGCCGTGTGTGGCGCCATGTCTGACGACGTTCGGTCCGCTCCCCAGGTTGCTGATTCCCGTGTTCGTGGGAGACCAGCTGCTGCTGCCGCCCGACCCTCTGGGCCGGAACGGACCCGGCCTGCTGGAGTTCCTCACGTTCCCGCCCGGCGCGCCGCTGCTGCCAGGCGCCCAGCCGCCGCCCGGCTGCCCGCCGCCGCCCGGCTGCCCGCCTGGCCCGAGTCAGCCCCCCGGGGTTCAGTGCACCTGAGCAGCGCCCGCGGTGCTCCTGCCCAGCGCAGCCCAGCGTCTGCCGGCGCGACTTAGAGGCGACAGGCGGCCTCCTTCCGAGAGAGGAGACGGAGCGATCGGTCCGGTTTGGGGAGGTTTGACTGTGGGGATGGGTCTGAGGCCGGAGGTGGGGCGGCTGTCAGTGTTTGGGAGCGCACGGGGTGATACTGATGCTCCGCCCGGCGGACGGGGGCACGCTATTTAGCGCGGCTGGGAGGCGTTGGTGGCCGACAGGCATCACGAATGCTCCACGGAGGGGGAGGAGGGGTGGTGACCGCTGGCAAGCGGGTCGGTCAGGAAGTGTCCCGACTTCGCTGCTTCGAACGGCTCCGCGAGCGCTACCCAGTGCGGAGATGTACTGCCACGTACCTGAATGTTAGTCACAGCATTCCGCTCAATCAGTATGTAGGCTAGAAGTCTGTTGAAACTCGAAGACATGTGCCTTAACGCAGGCTGCGAACGGCACGGCGACCGCCGCTTCGGCACGACGTGCCACATTCGAGGCCGAGCAGGTTGCAGACGGGGATCACTGGGTCTTGCAATACGTCGCCACAGATGGTGTCTAGTTGGACCTGTGCCAGAGGCCACAGACGGCCTCCATAATCGTGAAACGCTGTTGAGCTTGACCATTACCGCTGGCGTCCTAACTAGTAATGCTGACGCACGCGGCTTGTGATGTGCCTTCTGTGGTGGGCAAATCGGTGAATACGTTTAGACGGATGTTTTTAATGGGTGTTTCACAAAAATATACGTTATGTATGCAGTGTGGAAAGTTGCAGTTTCGCGTCTCCGCATGTGAATTTAGTGCATGCAACGGTGCCTTTCCGCCGTCCAAGTGCAATGTTTTTTGTGCCACTTTTTCTTTAGACAAGTTATTGGTCTCGCGTGACGCCTCCGCTCCTAAATTGCCAAGTTCATTCCGTAATTTCTGAAGGCAATTTTTTTGCTTCTCGATTGACATCTTGGAACACAGGCTAGATCAAAATTCAGATGCACCTTGTGTGGCTCAAAGGGGGCCTTCGTCGTTCGTCGGATACTTCAACTGTCGCGAACGGCGTTCAATCTACGAATGTGCCTGTTCATCTCTTGCTTGAATAGCTGAGCTGTACGCAGGAGGTGCTCTCCCTGCTGGTACCTTTGGCCGCTTGCTGCAACGTTCGCCGTGTAAAAGTGCGCACTTCGCATACGCCTTACGTCTTAAGATAAATGCAAATAGTAAAGAAGCAACATATTTGGTTTTTCCTCCCCTTGTGTAATAGGGAGGCAAGCCGTCGAACGCATCATGCGTGGTGCGTTGCAATGTGTCCGCCTCATGCCAGGATTTGTGCTTAAGAATTTATCGTACCTTGACGTGTGACAATGTTCGCCGACAAGCCTGCATCACAGATTGTACCTTCCTGCGGACAAGACTTCGCGGGTGCCGAAAGACGCCTGCCATCGGTACTTACGGGCTACGTAGATAAGGATGCCACCCAAACTAATGGAGAGCCGGTTCGGCGGAAGCGTGCTTGGCCTCCACAGTTACCGGCAGTGCAGTGTTCAAGCTGCGTGTCTGGGTGCCCAGAGGTACATGGTTCTTTTTCCCGCGGTGCCCGCCCTTCCTGCCAGGGTAAGAGGCAGGCGGTACCATATGGCCTCAGCAGCTCAGTGCGTCGTAAAACTCAAGTAATGACGCTTGACCTCCACGTGGGGGAGCCCAGTCTTGACTTCCGGCTGGCGCTGGTGCCTCGGGGTGCTTATATGACCGCTGCAGTCGATAGCGCTTCATAAAAGGTCGCCGTTTGGACCCCTTATAAGAGGCCGAAGAGCTAGTCAGAGATCGCGTTGAGAGACTCCGGCACGCAGGTCCGAGGCCCACGAGTGCCGGTCAGAGTGCGTCTCGCGCTGATCGGAACTCCTGAGACAATCGGACCTCATGTCGATCAGAGACCATCAATACTGAATAGCTTGTCCCGAAAAACGGTATACGGTCATCTTCCAGTTTGATTTGGGAAATAACAGCACGTGTTAGCTCGTAACGGCATAGTGCTTAATAACTTACTATGCATTACGATGTCAGTTTTAATGTCATCTTAAATCTTTTTTACAAGCAGGCCCAGTCCGTAACGAAACAATGGAAGGGCCTTGCGTCAGTCAGGCGGCCCGGTGACGAAAGAAAGCCCTTCTGATCGCCCCAGCCAGGAGCCCGACGAGCTGAGCTAGGGACCCTGTGTAGATTATTGGACTTTCCGTGCTGGCAAGCGATTCTTAGCGTCAGTGAGCGCGCTGCGTCGATCCGGAGTCATCTGTACCGGTCAGATGAATCCCTGCGTCGGGAAGGGGGCCGATACGTGATGCATCCATTGAGGGCAAATCGACCAAGGATCCCTTGACCCCATGTCGCCAGAGCGTTAACACGCGCTCGGGTGGGGGTCAAGTTGACCCCCCGAAGGGTTTTCTAGAATGGTTTCCGAACGGCGCGGCTGCGCCGCAGCAAATTTATCATAGTTGTAGACAATTGGATAGCGGATCGTTTGATGACAAAAGTTTAGATGTACCTTGTAAGGTCGCTGACCTAAAGCAGGTCAAAGTCAGGCCATGGTTTCAGCAAAGCCAATATCTAGGGAATCGTTCAATCTGACGCAGCAGTGGAGTGTTATACAAAGCCATACATCTCTGAAATGCTTTCTTAGACAGCAAAACAACTAAGTGAGCAAATTACATTTACCGTAGGTCGGGTATAAAGATCAGACCAAGGTCAAAACCAACCTGTTTTATTGCTCTAGGGCTTGCTTTAAGGGATGCTTTCTGGTGCTCATTTCAAATTTATTGATAGCAGGAACCGCATTCTACATCTTCCATGAACTTCTTAGAGGTCAGAATAAGTCATTGACATAAAATGACCCAGGCCAACATTTGGTTTTTAGGAGCACACTGCCTAGCTTACTTTGTGTCGCTTGTTCAAAGGCAAAACTCGTAGCAGTCTTGTATGATTTTGGTCACCACGACCTTCAAAAGGTCAAACAAGGTCACTTATCTTAAATGAGCATGTGACCTTTTGCTTAGGAACAGCTATCTATGTTCTGGGGGCACTTTGGGGACCAACCAGAATTTTGATCTTGTTTGACCTTATTTGACCCGAAAGTCATGACCTAGGAGCCTCAAACCTTGACCTAAGTGAGTTCCCGTACAGGTCAACATGCTCTGTGAATTTCGTGTGTCTAGCTCTCATAGTTCTCCAGATCTCAGCGGGGTCAAATTAACCCCCACCCGAGCGAAGGATATCCAGCCGGCCACCCGGGCGCGCGTTAACCGGTAAGTACACCGGGTTTGACGGGAAAGCCCTTAACCCCCTGATCGGAAAACGTAATGAGTTCCCTACTGGAGTTACTATGAAGGTCCTTGTCTGGAAAGGGGATGGACCCTCATTAGGATGGATTAATCGATAGATTAGATAGGATCGTTTATAAGAATTATTAGATCAGACTAGGTCTATTGACTATATGGGATCGATCGGAGGATATCGGAGTAGGAAGACGTGCGGAGGATATCCTCCAATTGGAAGGATCGATGGGGGTCAAAATTTTGTGTTCACATGACCAAGCCATGATCGTCTGAAAATTCCAAAATCGAGGTTCTTCGCCTCTTTCACTGAGGTGATGGGTTAATCATCAGCACGAACATGCACAGGAGGAGGGTTTCTGGTGCACTGACCTGCTCCATGTTGTTAAAGTTATCAAATGTCCAAGACCTATAGTTACTACACCTGTCTTGGATGGGTTCTCATTCATACATGAACCATTTACAGAGCGATTCAAAGGCCTTCTCCGCGACATTTGCAACTTCGTCTACACCCCGTGGGTTTCCTGCTATAAGTACCATACAGTCATCCGCGTACGGTATGAATTGTGTCGTACGATTTCGGCGGTTATGTTCGTTTTTTAGTGCACTTAATAAAAGAGGATGCATGCATCCCATGCAGTTCTCACTGCATACTAAAACGCACTGTCCCAATACTCTTATCAGACATATTTCAGATTGTGGCATCAGTTGAATGATTTCCACGAACTCCTCGATGGCTCGGGGATATCAGGGTATGCTATGTAAAATGTGTCGTAACATGCTCGCGCACCAGTTTATTTCCTTTGTTAGGCAGTACGGGGATGAGCGAGACTGGTTTCCTGATGCGACGAGATCAGATCGGCTTCTATGCTGTAAGAGATATCTTCTACTCATAGATACCACCCGAAGACAAAACTGCTGCTGATAATGTGTAAAAACACTTCTACACGAAATGGCGAGCAGGTCTGTACGACATGAAATGTGCTATGGCAACCGCAAGCACCATTTGTGTTCATTGATACTAGAGCGCATTTTAGGCAAAGGCTCGGCGACAGCGCGCAGGCAGAGGAACCCGCGCAACATTAGTATTACCCGGCGACCTTGGTTTACCAGTTGTCTGGAGACCCTGTCGGCGACGGTCCCTTGCTACCGACGGCTCTACGGATAAAGCGGTGCAAGCTACTACGTTGCCCAGACGGTTTAGTTGCCTGTACATGGCGTCAGAGTGATGGCACAGTGCTGCGCCATGAGTTCCTCAATCTCGACTGACACAGAGAGAGAGCTGTAAGAATCAGAAATATGGGTTGTGAATCTGAAGTTTACGCTATGGGATACGCTTGCCGGGCAACGGTTTCACGATCGTCAGGGGCGCATCCCACGGTTCATCGGTAAAAAAGGCGCCAGGGCAGGGCTACTGTCAGCCTTGGCCGGGTCCTGCCTAAGCATACCAGTGCTCAATGCGCGATGATCGAAAATGTTTGCATGTAATATGATAACGTGTGCTATTCTTTGCATAATATTGTATGATTTATTAATATAATTTTATTAATATAATGATATGGTAATGTATGCGGCAACAATTATGCGACCATCGACGATGACTGTGCATGCTTTCTCTTGCTTTCCTTTTTGCTGCTGCTCTGTTGCGTTTTTCGTTCAAAGTGGAAGAGGCCAGGTGCAGTCACTGCAGAGGCCGGGCGGAATATTTGTGTGTTGAATCTGCCCGCGGAGTGGGCCGCCGTACTAAAGCATCTATTATGGGTAGACCCAAGGCCATGTAATAAGGTCTGATCATCCGGGGATTTTTCCGGCATTTTTCCTTTACCATTACAGTGACGTCACAAAGTCGCAACCTGGCATCACAGCGCCGGCTGCATTACCTTCGCGTCTGCTACACCAGTGCACCTTCTAACAAATGCATCTGGTGATCGCCACAGGGCACTTCAAAAAGTACTATGAGGAAATATGCAAGGGGATTTTTGTCACGCATGTTGTAAAACAGCGAGCACAGGTCTAGGAACCAGGAACCCATCTGCCGTGACACTCCCATTTGCTGAGGATGCCAAACATTGAGTATATGGCGGTGCATTGAAGTTGGCCAGCCTACAGCTGCTGAAATGCAGGATAGCGAACCTGGCCAAGGTCCAGCCACTGCCAAAGGAAGAACTGAGCGGCACCAGGATCATCATCCGACCTGTCGCGTTGAGCCTCAGCACTATACATAATAACGCGCTGGGTTGCATTGGTGTGCGATTGGGGCAGTTTGAGACGACGGAAGTGATACGCTGCCTGGTAGAACATAGGGCATTGTTGACATTGCACATCGCGTCAACTATGCCACGAAGCCTCCGAAGGTCGTGGTGCATGGCGTTAATCAAGATCATATTCGTCACGCCATGCAGCCAAGTCATCGAACACACGCATGACTCATAATTCACCATATTTTACTAAAATATTCTTGCGCCCAGCATACACTTCATTGTGCACACTTGGCGAGGATCCAAAGAAACGGGGGGGAGGGGAGAATTCTTGCGCCCAGCATGCACTTCATTGTACACACTTGGCGGGGACCCAAAATAAACGGGGCGGGGCGGGGGCGGAGCTAACATAAGCACGATATTCACTTCGCGCCGTCCACCTGAGGTCGCACCTGTTTAGCTGCGCGTCTGGCAGCAGCTCGCTCAGCCCCAGCCTAATTAAGCCATCTGAGGTGCAGATGGGTGCGCGTCTTCAGTAGCTTCCGAGCAATCCACTTGTCCAGCGCAGAACTTCCTCAGCAGGAGCTTTGTGGGGCGGTCCACGATGTCAATGTCTCGGTTCATGCCTCGGTCCATCACTTGTTGGAACACGATCTCGAAAGCCTCGACAACGCTTGTCCAGGCCGGCAACGGCACCATTAGATCACCCTGTCTAACCGTGTGTATCCAGCTGTCTGGCACACAGCTGGGTGGTACCTCTCGGGTCGACAGTCCCATACTTGGATCAAGGTGTTTGCACTTGGCCGCCACGAAGCCCGCAACGAAGGCCAGCGGCCCGTGCTCGATGTGTGTGTCCTCGTCCATTTCGTCGCCGCAGTGGGGGCCATTTTCGGTCCTCTCGCCGTCACCGCCATGGAGCTTGCCTTTGCCCGATTCGTCGAACCCGCCGTTCTCGTCCACCTTGTTCAGGATGGGCATTGGAGGCATCGCGACTGCTTGCTGGTAGGCGGCCTCCACGTCGTCCGTATGCGCTGCCGCTTCCACCACAGCTGGATCTTGGATCTGTGGCACAACGAAACAGTCATTTTCGCGTACCTATCAGGCGCATTAATCAGACCCTTTTGCATATCACCAGTTTTGTTTATCATTGCGAGAGCAAAACGTCTTGGACCCGGACATGCCCATTCTTTCGTTATCGCATGCTTGTTTTTGTTCACAATCACCTTTTTGTGGTCCAGCGTGACATAATCCGAGCGGTTAAGAGGGACAGTCAACAGCCGACGAATACTGCACTGCGTGCACCACTCTGGATATCTCCCTCTTCTGGCCATAACCACGGATCTATCTGGATGGACCCGTCTCATGGTCCAATTTCATTGCATCGGCTGCCCCAGGGGGGTGGCGCCGCCATTACCGTTTTTCGACGGCCCTCCGAGGGCCCTCCGAAGCTCCAACAGCAGGGCCCTCCGAGGCTCCAATCCCCCCCCCCCCCGCCTCCATTCGTCTCTGCCCGTGATGTTCGTGGCCTATGGTTTAGGCACAGGAGTAGTCTTTTTACCACGGTTTTATTGTATGTAATCCCGGGGTTTGGTGACCAAGCAAATGGCCTTTATTTGAAATGTCAGACACTACCATGAACAGTAACACGAAGAGCCCAAAAATGGTTCAAAAGTAGCAAGACTCGCAAAAAGCCTTGTGCGGCACATGTGCGGTACGCAGGTAAGAGAACTGTTCAAGGCAACAGGCCAAACCAATATTAGAATCTCATAGATGCGTTAGATACTGTACCTATTAATGATTGTGGGGTTTGTTGGTCAGTTCACAGTGCGTAGATGTACTGTCAATGGGGCTGGGACTCGCTCGTGCAAACTTATTTCCCCCCCCCCCCCCCACCCACGTCGCAAACCCTGGCTACGTCCCTGACCCTCACCCTCTTCGCCCGTGTAGCATCGATGGCTGTGCCACTTGTGTCAGTCAGGCCCCACTTTGTAAACAAGATTATGGCCAGAAAATCTCGCTTGAATCTCGTATTGTAGTCTACAAACTGCACGGAGTGGTATGGATTATGCAGGCATTAGTGACTGAATCGGGTTCAAAGATTTCTGCATAAAACAGACGGGAATTTTCCTTTTAAGCACACGCATACCCACTTCGGTGTGCCGGCGATATCCAGTCGCATAGAAGGAACTACACTTGGTCGAAGGCATGGTTTAACATTGTGTATGAGACTGGCCTTAACCAGATAGCCAGGATCATAGTCATAATCTTGAAAATGACCAGATCAGATTGACGCATTCCCCGCATTTATGGCGTTAGTCCAAGAGCAACGGTTCACTCATGTTTCCAGGACAGTTGGATCGTTTCTTGCAAAATAAAAGTGTCTTTATTGTGCCGTTTCACATTCTTGCAAGAGGCCACTTCACAGGATGGCATCTTGCTGCCAAAAAACTGCCTTTGATGCTCACTTTTGCCCTACGCTCACACACCACTTCAAAATTCTCCCATCCGTGACATAATAGCACGCACTGAGGCAACACAACAATACAACCTTGATGCCACACTGCACGATAATCGCGATATTACATTTGATACATTATATTGGTTTACACGGCCTCGACGATAATAGACAAGACCAACCACAGCATTTCTGCGTGACGACTGCTTTCCACGCGACGCAGTCGACGTTGCCATGCAACGCCTCAGCGCGAGCTATTGCGACTTTGTGACGTCACCGCTGAACGTTAAATAGGCGCCAGCCTGACTAATTTCTCAAGCTGCGATGATGACCCCCTGGGTAGACCATAAACGCATAACCACCCCACAACCGCTGCAGGGGCTGGTTGGCGCAGCGTTAATCCTGGGGCATGGTAGTTATTTCCAATTGCTGCCATCACCTGGGAAGGGGGCCAGTTGAGGGAAACCCTACCGAAGTCAGGGTTGAACCAAAGATCTCTCATCAAGATCGGCGTACGTGTTAACCAACTGCGTCACCGAAGCGGTTATAACAAATGAAGATATTCACTTGAACCTTGCTATTGCTGCATATGTCTGCTGCCTCCATGATACATCCGCTAGTGTGTTGAAATTTTGAGCAACATATCTATATTTTAAGAATACTTATCCAAAAATAAAGTTTACGGATACATTTGTTACACACATAGCAGCTCTTAAATACAAAAATGTAGTTCTGTACATTTCCATTGGCTTAGTTGGCATCTTATTCGTGGGCAATAAACAGCACGAGAACCCGCTTCAGTTTGCAATTTGCCTTCAGTGCGGGCGAAATTCTTCAAAACTGTGGTGCTTTCATGTGGCTGGTGTAAGCTGCTCATCACCTTACAGCGGTTTGGATCTATCTGCCTCCAGACTCATACACTTCGTCCTTTGCAGCTGTGGTTTGGCCTGGACGCTAGTCATGTGGTGGCGAATCGATCGCGGCCATTCAGCCCCCCCCCCCCCCCTCCACAGGTGATGGTAAACAAAGTAGGTTTGGCAGCTGCGCGTGGCAAACTAAACCTGTCCCTAAATGTGATAGAAACAAGTATATCCATGAATTTCAACTACTTTTGTCCAAAACCAAGGGAGCTGGCTTCGGAAAAGAAGTGTGTACGTTGATGGGTGGAACTATCAAAGGCTGCCACTGAAATGCCGGCCGGCAGCCGCAAGACGGGCTGGAACGCAGCACTCGCGTCTGGCGGGCTCGACACTGCCAGTGTTGTTTTGTTGGACGATTACTGCTATCGGTTTAGTCAGCTGGTGTCGAGCTTACCAGACGCGAGTGGCAGGGCC